AAGCCATTGCGGGTAGCGATGCTGAGAAAGACAGAAGAGCCAAATATGGCGCACATCATGACGAGCAGAAGGACGCTAGGTTGGGCGGCGTAGAGGTGCGGGTCGATGATCTTGTTACGGAGAGTGTCTGTCACACGGGAACCGACGGCTACGGAGCCGGAGAACTCGGCGACGGCAGCGATGGCCATTGCTTGTTTCATTGTGAGGGATCGGGAGGAGACGGACGTCGCGAATGAGTTTGCGACGTCATTCGCGCCTGGAATTGACATGGTCAGTTGTATGTGTATGGGCAGCTCCATCGAAGTTCTGCAGCAGGTCTATTCTAGCACAGCCTGGTGAGACATACCAATGTTCCAAGCATCGAGAAAGGAGAAGATAGTGGTGATGGCGAAGATGTAGTCATATTGATGCAGTGCGGCGGCCATGATAGCTCGCCGGGCTTTAGTCTTCAGTGGTATGCTCTTGAAAACGATACAAGCTCAGATGTTCCCAGTCTCTCGGAGCCAACACTCAGATGGCCGATGAAGTCTCGTCGTCGGCTCCCGTTTCTTCGGCGGATCCCTGTCTCCCAGACATGTTGTGCTAATTCGATCCCATGCTCGTCGATGATGATGATGATGGTCTTGAAAGCTGATCAGGAAGCAGTGATGACCTGAGACGGAACTCTCCTGTGCTAGTAGTAGAAAAATGGAGTCTGGGTTATGATCAATCATTGTGTCTGGCGTTTTGTTCCGCCGGCCTGGGTCAGATGGTTATATGGGTTCGCCTTGCCGTAAGCCGAGATCGAAACGGGACTGGAGCCTTCTCGCATCATTCGATATGGAAACCAGGGCAAAGGCTGTGTGTCTGGCCTGCTTCGGGATGAGCTTGTAGAGGTTCCATGTATGCAGTAGCTCTTAGGTTTTGCAGGGGACGCTGGCTTTGGCTAGCAGCCGTACATAGGGTGTGGTCGAGGTTTCTGTCCCAGGGCTGGGCCACGAGGCAGAGGAGACGTCAACGACAGGGCAGATGGGGACTCTTGTGTGGCCTCCACTCCACCACCATCTTCGAGATAGTTAGCCAGGGGTTTGAGACGGCCGAAGCTTGCGGATGCGACGATGTGCTCGGGATGCACCTCGTTGCGGACACCGATGGATATGCAGGCTATCAGACCCCCACGAACTCTGATTCTGGTCCTTCTACATCTCAAAAGTCAGCATGGCATAATGCCGGCGCGAATATGCTGTGTTTGTGTATGTGAGCTGCAAAATTGAAGGCGGCAACTAGCCGCTCGTTGAAAATGGGCTGAAGGAGCGCTGCGAAGCTAAAGATGGGTGCTTGGCGACGTTAAACTGGGTAGCCAATCTACGGCCGGGATTGGAGCACGGTGTTCAATGGTTCGAGGAGGCCAAGTCTCACCACCAACACGGCCTGTAGATGCTGTGTTCTTCACAATCATACACATTATCCCCCTTTCTGTTGCTGGTCTCTCCTTTGTCCTATAATGCCCGTCCTGCATCCGTCGGGTCTTGTGGATGCTCAATCACCTATGTACGCGAACTTCGGCTACAGTAGTATTAAGCTGCTGTTACCACACTAAAATACTGACCTGCTGTGCAGTAGAGTAAGATATGGTTCAAAAGGTGGGTAGGTATCTTATGCATGAGGTGTCGACCCAACCTGGAAGGCATCCAGCAAATTCCATAGACCGCGCTTTTTAATTCAACGTAGAGAAAAGTACTAGATTAAAAATAATAAGAAAGTTCTAATTTCTTAATTTATTTTTTGTTACAACCTAGCTATAATGTAATATTAACTATCTAAGAGGTTTGTATTTCTGACGACTTACTTTAGTGTTACTACCGGTATCACCCACGGTAGCAGTTGCGGTCCCGTCAACGTCTGCTTCTTCTGGGTAAGACCTCACTTCAGCGTCTCGTAAGGGCGTCATCGTCATGAGTATACACTTTGCCCTCAACTGAGAGAATAAGAAGAAGGGGGCTGACTATAGATGAACAATAGACCCAGTGCATCGACGTCAAGCCTTGCGAGGTTCACACCGTGCCTACTGAGAAGGTTGCTGGTGGCATCAGCGCTCAAGGACTGTGCTATTCCATGGCATACCACGGATGCGGCGGCCGTGTGACTGCTTCTAACACTATGATCCGTTGCCCCAATGGCTACTAAACGTTGTGCAAAACTGGGCAGAACGCGGTGGTGGTAATGGTGTAACCGCAACTCTGCCCTGTGTGGCTGCGCTATCCGGTGGCCTGGCTGATCTTGGTCTCCGGTCCTTCATTTATCTTTCTCACTATTCATCTATTTGTTCTCGCAAACAATTACCGAAATTTTGGCACCTTATCTGGCTTCTATATTGACTTCTGCGTTGTTCTCGAGCTAAATCTTTACACTCATTCCTATCAGGACGACTTATGACTCAATCGTAGTCAATACTTTTCCCCTAGGCCAAGACCAAGATATAACGCCATCAGTGACTTTTCGGCGCACTTGTCCAGAAATACGCCAGAGTATCCTCGGTTGTGTATGATACTAGGTCGTATTTGAGTTTAGAAAGAAGGGGACTTCGTCAATCGGTCGCCTGTTGCTAAATCTACGCACAACTAATTGATTCCGGGGGGTTTCGGTCATTATCCCACCGGCTATGATGTTGTTTCGATTGAGTAAGATCGCAGGTGTCTGGTCTCCTGAACTCTATTGTACAGCGCTACTGTCGGTCATATCCGTTCCAATCTATTTGGATCCTGGGTGTGACTCGCAGTTCCATTGTTATTTAAACATAGCATGACTCCTCATAGGCTCACATGTTGCCAATTCAACTACACTCTCGGCTCATATCTTTAGGTTATTTCATATCTCAGACATTGCTCAACTTTCAGCACCAATAGCAAGTTTCTTTACTAAAGTTCTGATTGTATATCACTTACTCGAAGACTCGTAACCTCACATTTCAAGCTCAAAATGCGCTTTCCTATCTTTGTTGCCCACGCAGGCCTTGCAATTGCCGCTACGGCCCCAGGCTGCCACTTTTGGATCAGAGAGATTTCTACGGGCCAGAATGTCGGTCAAGGCTGCGTCGGAAAGGGCTGGACAACTTATCCTTGGGCAGCTAAAACCCGCGTCGGTGTCACGGCAGACCAGTCATGCAATCTCAAGACAGAGAGCACCACATACGCTGCTCAGTTCGATGGCGAATGCACCGCAACAGTACAAGGCAAATAAAATACAGTCTGGTGAGTGAATTAAATATCAAAACTATCTTTGGCTGGCGCTGAGACGTCATGATTTAGCATCCGAACAACGAAGAAAAATGACCCCCGTAAAGGAACGGTTGTATGGCGATGGGGGTGGATATTTGAGAGTTGCTAGTCATGATCACGCTTTATATGGCAAAGTCTAGAGTCAAACTCTTCACTAGGTGTCTTGTTCACGTCGACGATGTACTGCATGCTTTGCAAAGTAGTGACAGTTTCGAATAGCAAATAACATGGTTATGAATGAAGTTGTGAGATAGTGTACTGTCAGTAAAGATGATATCGAGCCAACGATTATCATTAGATACGTCAATCGTCTTGGTAAGCACTAGCAATCAAATTTCTTAGATTCTACACAAATGCGGTTAGGTGGGCAACTTACCAGCCAAACCCTTATAGAACGGGCAAATCTGCGCGTGAAGAAGTAGGATGGGGTTTCATAGGTCGGACATATAGTAGCATAGGCTTTGATCTCTCTTCCCAAAAATGTGCCAGTCGGACTCGATACGCTAAGCAAAACGCTCTAACCGCTTCGATCCGTCCAATTACTAAGTATGAGAGCTCCTGCAAAGCCGCAGACATTGTCATACATTAAAGAGGCTACAATACCTCTTCTCAGAGGGGGCGACGGAGGACCCGTTGATCTGTAATTTGTAGTGTTTTACGGCACTGATCTTAGCATGTCTGTTGTCTGTGGGCTTTCTCTGTATAGAAAGTGATATCGTTCTGTGAGACTGATTTCTGACAGGCAGGAAGTGTGGCGTATCAAGAAACGAAAAGTCCATTTCCACATTCCTCATACCGGAGATGGATCACTTCTCGGAATCAATGAGAATTGGCAGTCGAACGCATAGGAAAGTGATAATGTTACAGTAGCCATAGTAACTTCCCCAGTTTTGTACTGTAGCGGGTTTTCTAAACTGCCATTTTGAGTTGAGCGTGAGCTTGAAGCAAAACGTGGACATCGTGTAATCAGACTGTGTTCCGTACCTGATGAGTCATTTTCCTGGATAGCCAGGTCCTGTCGTTTAGAACAGTCTTATGTGTCTACAAAACCGGAATTAACGCACTAGAACTTGTTGTAGCAACCACGACTTCTCTATCTACGTCCCAACGTGACTAGAAAGTCTTCCTAAGTAAGTGGGCTGTATCTGGGTGCTCTTGTTGGCCGGCTTTGACTAGTATATGCGAGTCAGGATCGCTTCTGTTGGTGCAAGAACCCTGCCCGGTATTTTGGGAGCAAAAGGGGCTTCGAGACTTATCGCGTCTCGGGGTGACCACAAAATCCGGATTCAATTCCCTTGAAGGGTTGGCCATCTCCTACTATCACACCGGGTGCAAGTGGACTATAGCAAAATCACCTCCAGTTTTTACTAACCAATGCCTTTGTTGACAAGGCGGATGTACCAAAGCTGTGAAGCAAGTGATGGGATATCATTCGCCAGTAAAAGTACTTACGCAAACGCGGACTGATTTCAACTTGAACCCGATGGGGAATTGCTCGCCCTTCGGCATTGTCGTGATGACCGGCTTCATAATGTCGCGCTTACTGACGATCCGATGGTCTTGTCATCCGACGTAACATTAAGTTGTCTATGGTTATCTTATTATAAGCCTCTTTGCGTAATTGCGTATTCGTAGATGATGATAAAGAAGCCAACTCTTTTCAACACGCCATTTTACCCCAACCTGCATCGGACGGCTCATCAACAGCTTTCAAAGAACAGCTTGAATTGAATCATCTCCATTATGCTCCGTCTAAGCCCCGACGAGTCATTCCATTTCGAGTTGTTGCGACTCCTCGCCCACGCAACATACGGAGGTGCCGACGTTGGTGAGGTTCTCGCGATCGCTTCAGAAATCACTCCCGGCGACTTTGAGTCCTTCCACGATGCCTTCGTCAAGCGTGCAGAAAGAATTCTGGAGCAAGAAAATAAGGCAACCAATCCGATATCAATTCGCGACGCCATGTTCCGAGCATCTACCTATTATAGAGCTGCCGACTTCTACATCCACGGCGATTGGGAAGATCCACGCATCTTGTCTCTTTGGGACAAGCAGACGGCATGCTTTGACCAAGCAATCTCTCGACTTCCCATTCCCGGTTATAGGCGTGTGGTCAAGGGACCAGGCTTCGACATACCCGTCATCTTTTTCCCGGCACGTGGGACTACCGACGAGAAATTGCCGACCATAGTCCTCGGCAATGGTTATGATGGCTCCTTGGAAGAGATGTACCATCAGTATGGTGCTGGGATCCTAGAACGTGGCTGGAATGTTCTATGCTACGACGGCCCAGGGCAGATCTGTGCACGCCGATACCAAGGAATCGGTTTCACGCACGAGTGGGAAACTGTCGTCTCTCCCGTTCTTGACTTCCTGGAAACATTGCCAATCGTCAACATGAAGCAGATTGGGATCGTCGGAAACTCGATGGCAGGATTGCTCGCAGCCCGCGCTGCTGCTTTCGACCACCGCCTTGCTGCGGTATTTAGTATCGATGGATTATACAATCTTATGGATACCCCCGTCTTCGATGTTGAGAAGGGCTTGGCTCGATACTCGGGAGTCCAGGACTTTGCTGCAGCAGAGAAGATCTTCGAGGACCCGAGTGTACCAACGACAGCTCGCTGGGCCCTGTCTCATGGTTTATGGGCTTTCAAAGTCCGGACACCGGCAGAGTACTTGGAAAAAGCATCCCATTTCAACTTGAAGGGCATAGCCGACAAAATTCAGTGTCCTGTATTTGTTGCTGATGCCGCGGACGATCACTTTTTCAAAGGACAACCTGAAGCAATGCGGGATGCTTTAGGTGACAAAGCCCATTACGTTGTATTCACGGCAGACGACGCGGCAGGCGAACATTGCCATGTTGGTGCTGCAAGATATACTAATCAGGTCATGTTTGACTGGTTTGAGGAGAAGATCATCAAAACATAGGTCAAGATAGGCTTTCATTAGCCCCATGGTGAAGAGTTGTTGTCGACTGTCAGGCTAGCCAAAAACGCAGAGTAACCGACGTCTCGAAGTACCTTTGACAAGGAATTTTGTCGATGTTGTTGGTTTCTTTCCTGGTAGCTTTAGCCTTGTTGACTGAAATACAGAGATTCCTATGACAGGTGGTAATCGCACGGTTCAGATGCGGTGATGCATTTTCTGAGATCTGTGAGATTCATGACACGCTCCCGCACCCTCCCAAGTCCTTTCCTTGAAACTAATGATATCCCAACCTATACCCTATCCGCCAGTGTGAACTTTGGCCAAAACGACTAGGAGTGAGTCTTTACGATCGCATTGTTTTGAAAGAATGTACTTGATTTCCGTTTCCAATGCCCTTGGCAGCAAAATGCAAAGATGAGCTGAGCCTCTGGCTGCCCACCCGAGTCCTACCCCACCTCGAGTATGAAGATCATATGTGCTGTATAAAAGTTCCCGATGTATCAGACCAGCTTCTGGGTGTCTCTTTTCCACAGCACCATTAAGCCCATTTTTCATTCTAGCCCTTACCACAAAGGTGCGGCACTAAACTCATGTGTGGCTTCCCATCCCGCTGGAGCTACCCAAAGATGCCCTCAAAACCATCCACGATACTTTGAGAAAAACCCGGTATCAATACACTTGGCTCACATATTTATTCTTCCTCTGGGGCGAAACGGTCAAGAAATAGACATCAGGCCACACGACTGGCTTTCACCCTATGGAAATTCTTCATTTACCTTGACGGCTTTCGAAGGTACTGCGGTATACAGTTGCGGTCTAAGCCGGCTGCCACGATCTAAGGGTACATACATCGTCGACTGCTATCTCCGATACTAAGGACTCGAAGGACCTTGACTGCCACAACGCCTTCATCACATCACTCTCAAAACTTTCCCTCTATAATTGGGAATAAAAAGCCAGCCCATCCCCTGTTTCTTTCTCCTTTCCTTCTGCAGGCTCACCTCACCTCGAACAAACACAATCCACTTTCTACTCTTCATCTCATTCTCAGTTGACTACTGCGGCGATTCACTCACTTTCCACTTGCGCCTACTTCATCTCATATCTCTGGCTCCTATACAAAAAACCCCGAGATTGTCTTAGCTGCGGCTCTTTTCTCTCTACAACCCACCTTAACTTCTATTCCAATAGGTAATCAACATGCCTTTTATCGGAGCTACGCTTTCCTCTGCCCCAAGGGCTCAGGGGAATACCACAACCACTCCCCGTCGCATGCCGCTTAGCAATGTCCTTGTTTTCAACGAAGACAGCGCCTTTCATGAGGAGCAGCAGCCTTTCGGTAGCGACGACTTCACTATCTTTTGTGATGAAGAAGACATCAGCACTTCTGCGGAGCAACGATCTACCAGTAGCGGAGACTTCGCCATCTTCTGTGATGGCGAAGACAACGCTATCTCTGAGGAGCAACAACCTTTCAGCAATCATGACTTCACCATCTTCTGTGACGAGTCTGAAGAGAAATTTCGTCCAGCCAACGGGGACATCAACATCGGCTTCGAAGATGGATCGAGGTACACCATCCCAGAACTGCAAGGTACCGTCGGCGTCCTCCAAGAGCGACACCCCAACATCGTGGGCAGAGCAATCGACCACAACGGACACTACGGTCACCTACCCGCCACCATGACCAAAGAGCATGCGCCTGCCAACAGTGAAGTCTCTGCATCCCTTCACTATCTCCATCCAAACCCCGAACAGGGTGCCCCAGGCCGACACCTCACTCCCGAGCAAGTCGAACGCTCGGCTCGCATGCTCTCACTGGATAACGCCATCGACCAACTTCACGATCCCCTCATCTACGAAGATCGTCAGGTCCTTCGCCGCATCGTGCGGCTGCTGGATATCCGCCGCCAAGAGCTCTTGAGGTACGGCATCAGCGTCGAAGAGGATTCGCCGGAGGTTGAGCTGCCTGAGACCGTCGACGACATTGAAGACCTTGCGATGCAAGCCAGTGTCAGTTTCGATTACTCGTTTGTTCTCAGCGCTATTGAAGCCATCGATACTCTCGCTCAGAGTGTCTGGTTCTGCAATGAAGAAGAGCAGGAGTCGAACAAGGAGAATATTCCTCCTGAGCTCATGGGCTAGATGGAATGGAGAAAGATGATGCAGAGCATGAAGGCCTGCTGGGGAGGACAAACAATACAAAGGGACAGAGCCAGGTGATCAAGTTCTACCATTCTTGGCGACTACGGTTTGAAGTAGTCTCATGATATCACGACGAGCTTATGAGATACGAGCAATGAGACATGACTAGATGATTAGACGGGATTTTGCATCACGCAATTGGGATCGCTTGGAGTATTGGAGCATTGCATCGGCGTTTGGTCATTAAAAGCCTTGAATTCATAGACGAATAATTCTAATGTTTGCGCCTTGCATACGACAAGTTCTCCATGAATAGGCTGAACAAAGTGATGTCTGAGTTATCAAGTGAATGAGCGAGGTGAAGTTTGTGAGACATTCACTGACCAGAGAGTGAGTACGTATCTTTGGCAGGGTCCAAGCGCCGTTTCCCCTGAGGACCCCGCACTAAGCCTCTTCAGGCAAAGATCGCAGGTAATCCCATCCTGGAAATTGATGCTAATTATTGTTTGCCTACGGTATTGTTTTGTGAGGGGACGAGCTTCGCAACCCCGCCAAGTCACTCCTTGTCCGGCTTCACCAACTCCATCCCAGTGTCCTTGTCCTCAGAGATCCGGACCTCCAGCAGTCAACGCAGTTTCAAGTACTGATTCTTCTTTGTGATACCCCAAGTCTTTGTTCTTTTTTCCAAGGTATGAGTCTCCTTTGCCTCTCAATGCATCCCAGTATCACCTTATCTAATTTTGCCCCGCCTTGAATTTCACTGACCGCCTCCAGCAGACCGCAAACTCGATTGCAATATGTCAGACAACAAGGTCTATCGCGCCAGCACCACGGCACCTGTCAACATTGCCGTCGTCAAGTATGTTCTGCCAAGCTGCAACTGTATATTCACAAAGGTTCAATGCTAACAAACACAGGTACTGGGGTAAGCGCGACCCGAAGCTCAACCTCCCCACCAACAGCTCCCTCTCCGTCACCCTCTCCCAAGCCGACCTCCGAACCCTGACGACGGCATCCTGCTCCGCCAACTACCCCGAAGGTGATAGCCTCATTCTCAACGGCGAAGCCTCCGATGTCTCGGGCGCCCGCACACAGGCCTGCTTCCGCGAGCTGCGCGCCCGCCGCGCCGCCCTCGAGGAGAAGACCCCCTCCCTCCCGAAGCTCTCCAAGCTGCCCCTGAAGATCGTCACCGAGAACAACTTCCCCACCGCCGCCGGACTCGCCTCCTCGGCCGCCGGCTTCGCCGCCCTCGTCCGCGCCATCGCCGACCTCTACGAGCTCCCCGAGTCCCCCTCTGAGCTGTCCCTCATCGCGAGACAGGGCTCCGGCTCCGCGTGCCGCAGTCTGTTTGGCGGATATGTCGCGTGGAGAATGGGCGACAAGGCGGACGGCACGGATTCCAAGGCCGACCTCGTTGCCGAGGCGTCGCACTGGCCCGAGATGCGCGCCCTGATCCTGGTCGTCAGCGCGGCCAAGAAGGGCGTCTCGTCGACTTCGGGCATGCAGCAGACGGTCGCGACGTCGGGCCTGTTCAAGCAGCGCGTTGCCGAGGTCGTGCCGAAGCACATGGGCGAGATGGAGGAGGCCATTGCCAAGCGCGACTTTGAAAAGTTTGCCGAGGTCACCATGCGCGACTCCAACTCGTTCCACTCCTCGTGCGCGGATACCTACCCTCCCATCTTTTACATGAACGACGTCTCGCGTGCCGCCATCCGCGCCGTGGAGCAGATCAATGCCGCTGCTGGAAAGACTATTGCTGCGTACACCTTTGACGCCGGCCCGAACGCTGTCATCTACTACCTTGAGGAGAATGCCGCTGCTGTCGTTGGTGCTTTCTCCCCTGTCTTGGGATCCGTCGGTGGATGGAAGGAAGGCGCCAAGGATCTCAAGTCCTCTGTGGCCTTGGACGAGACTGTTGCCGGTATCATCCAGAGCGGTGTCAGCCGTGTTATCCAGACTGGCGTTGGCGAGGGCCCGATCAAGTCCGACATTTACCTTGTTGGCGAGGATGGTGAGCCGGTTAAGCGGTAATCTGTTCAGTCCATTTTTGGCGGCATCTAAACAAGCTTCAAGTTGCTCAAAAGTCCTCTTTGTGCGTATATAAACACTTAATTAAATACCACTTCGAATTCCTGCTAGTATTAGCGAACGTGCTGTCAGTGGTGAAGCATAGCTAAGTGTGAACACTTATCATGAGTGGCCCATCTCAATTCCCAGCAGCATGTCTGACCAGCTCTGAGTATTCCAGCCAAGCACGACACAGAGTCTACAAGCATCTGGGCAGGAATAAGATCATGAACTGGGATTGCAAGTAAAAACATCAGCGCCAACTCAGTGTCTTCGAGACTTTATTTGGAGAGATTGCTGGCTGACATATCGCAAGGCAGCATTTCCACGTCCTGAAAGTTCTCCCTTTTGCCTTCAAGGTGGGACCCACTTTTCTCATTCAACCTCACTCCTGCCTTCCTGCCACATCGCTGTTTCCTTGGCCATCCCTCTGCGAAAATTCTCAAACGAACAACAAACCACAGAAAAAATGGCAGGAGCCGAGGAGAAAGAAGTCCTCATTGAGGAAAGAGATGGAACCGGAAGAATTACCCACCGCTGGCTGCACAACACCGGCTCACAAAAAATAACACTTGTGCGCCAGTCTCACCAAAACACCATCCCGACTCTCACCACGGCCCTCGAGACCTCAACGACAGCTGGGCTCGCCAACATGCGTCAGATTCTCTACGACGCATTCCTGCCAATCGGCTACCCGGAATCGGTGACTCCTGATTACATTGGCTACCAGACATTCGACTCCCTCCAGGCCTTCTTCTCTACAATCACCGGCCTCCTTGCCAACCGGGCCATCCTTCAAGGCCTCGGAGTTGGCGACGCGTCGTCTTCCGCGACATACGCCCTGCTCCTTACAATCCTCAAGGATGGAATCTCTCGCGTCGCCACAATTGTCTTCGCCTACCGTTTCGGCCTGGTCATTGAGCCAGAGTGCAAGAGATACCGCTACCTTGCTGATATTTTCAATGATAGCGCCTTCTTCCTCGACCTCTTCAGCCCCTACTTTGACCCTTGGACCAAAGTCCTCGCTCTTGTTCTCGCAGAAGCTCTTCGCGCCATGTGCGGTGTCGCCGCCGGCGCCAGCAAGGCCGCTCTGTCCAAGCACTTTGCCCGTCGCAACAACCTTAGCGAGCTCAACGCCAAGGAGGCATCTCAAGAGACCGCTGTCGGCCTCGTCGGTCTTCTGGTGGGATCCATCGTTGTGCGCTACGTCGAGAGCAGGGAAGCCGTCTTTGCGCTCATGGTCGTGCTCGTCTTTGTCCATCTCGGCATGAATTACCTCGGGGTCCGCTGCGTCCAGCTCAACGTCCTCAACCAGCAACGCGCTACGATCCTCTTCAAGCACTACATGCAGACGAAGCAGATTCTTTCCCCCGCTCAGGTCGCCTCGCGCGAGAGCATCGTCTTCTGGACTCCCGTTATCAAGGATCACCTCGGGGAGGTCATCACCAAGATTGGCTTTGCCAAGAGCTATGCCCACGCCATGACTGCGGACCTCAAGAGCGCTCGCGTCCGCTTTGTCACGCCCGAGCAGCAGTCTACCGAAAAGGGAGGTCAAAAGGCTCATCCGGGCTTCATTCTTTGCCTTTGCGAGAGAGGAGACATCGCCACGATCAGAATCCTACTCTTAGGGGACCGGTCCCCCACGGAGGCGAACGACATCAACACGCTCATGGCGTGGTACTACGCCACCATGCTCGCCCATGACAGAGCCCTGGCTTCGAAGACTGGCAGTCAGAAGCTGCTCCACGGTGCTGTCCCCGTGGACGAGATTGAGATCGGCGAAAGCATTGAGAAGTTGGATTTCAAGGCGCTTGAGGAGGCGGGCTGGGATGTCAATGAGACCAACCTGGACGCCTTTGCTCCGCGTATCAGCATTGGCTTCGAAGACAAGAAGGAGCTGTAGTCTGATGGAATGGATAGTAACTACAAGGGACCATGCTTGGGACAACGGTTGCTCAAAGGAAACCGGGCATTTGGGATGGATGACGCTCATAATGTATGATTGATGATACCTGTGACCCTCTATTCGATCTGAGGCTGTCACTTTTGCAAATAATTCAACTCGGTGTACACTGGACTTTGTCTGCCGTGTAAAGCAATGTTACACCAACCGAGCAAAGGAGTGTTTATCTGATGAACAATTGTGAGAAGGAGGATGCAAGCATCGTGACCTTGTGACCGAGATCTTTTCTCGTAGATCCCCAGACTGTCCGATCTAGCTTTTCCTTTCCTTTACATGTCGAATAGAGTGAAGACCGTACCGGATCGCTTCTGAAACCTGGCATACAGCAACATCCTTCCATGACGGAGCTGATCGAGGCAGAAATGCGTTTGCGGCAAGTCTGTAATAGTGGCTACCTTACACCATGCTCTCGCCAGACATGGGAATTGAACACCAAATCTAGCTGAAGCAGTCCGAACTCGAAACAGCGGCAACAACAATACGGGAAACAGATCCCGAGGATTATCTACCCCAGAACGGAGACATGCAGATCAATTCGGCTCCGATCGCATGGCAGCCTGCCCAATCTAGGCCACTAGACAAGAGGGGAAAAAAAGGGAAAGGCAGCCCGAAGCGCGACAGGGGACCAGGTTCAGCGTTCCCCATTTCCTGAAGCGGACCTAAAGAATTCTTTTCCCTTTGCCGCACGAATCGCCGCAGTGTGTGCAGTGTCGTTGGGGGCTCCGCGCTCCGCCTCGCCTTGCAAATCAAGTTATTCAGCATACTATAGCCGCGCCGCCGTTATCGGACGACCATACTGCGCAGTAGACGTCCACACCTCCGGTGCGGCGGGTGCTCCGTGTGCTATTGCGTACAACCGGGATCGGGATGGACTGCTGCGGATATAGTGAGTGGCAATCCTACAGCGCGATTCGCGCCGGGAATGGTTCGACACCCGGCTTTCGGTTCTTGAAGACGGCAGGCAGGGGGAGAATAGACGTTTTAATTTCGGGAGCACGTCATCGGCCGGAGGGGGAGATGGATCATGGAGACATTGGCAGAGAGAGAGGTTTGGGTAGTTCACTGACGGTGGAAAGCTAGCCCTATCCACAAGTCGCAATTCAGGAAAGGATCTTGACCAAGAAATCCTACACAGGACAGTACCGATAGAAAAAGTAGTTAGGATCAGAGCCGAGCGTCTTCCCCTATGCAGAAGAGGGCTACAGACGCCAAAGGTTCACAGTAGCCGCCCTTTGTAGAAGGTAATTCTAGACGAGGCAACACTAGTAACAAACAAGCTGCCCAACGAGACCAAAATCCACCACGAAAGAGAAAAAACGTGCCCAGCGGCTTGCAATTCGCGCCGTCTTACCTCGCTAGCCGGCCCGGTAACCACCCAGAACCCTTCCAAACCGGCCAGGACCCCCGGCGGGAAGGGCAGACAGACACGCACACAGGCACACAGAGCAGCGCGCCGCACGCGCAAGCGGCGCTGATGCAATGCAATGCAGGGCCCGGGATCCCAAGTCCACTCTGGCCCGGCCGCCTGCTGTAACCTCACCTCTCCTCCAGGCTCCCCTCCATCGCAGACGTCCGTGCCGTGGGGGTTTGAACTTTGAGCTGGTCTGTCTGTCTGTCACTACTAGCTTCGCTTTGGTTTGTCCGGCTTGCTGGAGTTAAGCTGGAGTGTGGGCTTGCTTAGATCCGGTGGGAAGGGTTTGCCGTGTTGGGCAAAAACTGCCCGGGGGAAGACGGGGGGAGCAGATGTATCTGTACAGATGTGACGACCGGCAGACAGCTTGCACATCAGGTCTCAAAGACGAGGACACCCTCTCTTACCTTTGCTCGCGTGCTCTGGGCTGAAGAGAAGCGAAGAAGTCGTGTCTCGGTAGCGGTTTCGTGCCCGCTGGCTGGTTCAAGATCATGTCCCGGTCGCCCGCAGAATCGTTCGATGCAGGGCGCCCATCTCCGTCGAAGAGGTCCTCCTACACTACAAGTCCTGTCCCGTCCCTTTTGGGCGTCAAGAGGTTTCGTGGGTGCTGCGGTGTGGATGGACCGGGATCGGGAAGCATGGACGAGGACTGCGTATTCCTTGCTGGACAGTTGCCTTCTTCGTCTTGTTCACTCAGTTTTCCCCAAAGTATCGCGTATCGCCGGTTCCCCCGGATGTGACATTCTGTCCTCGCAAACCGTTCCCCGGCGCTTTTCAGTTGATTGATAATACTCCCAATTCGCCAATGGGTTTGGGCCGTTGGGGTCGTCACATCACCATCCCTTCCCTTCCCCCTTCCCTTTCCCCGCGCAATGTTGATCACTGATCTCCCGAGTCCCAGGCAGGCCTTACAAACTACAGCTACCACTAGGCTAAAAACCCCGAACGCCGACCGTCGCACCGCGGGACACCGCCGGAGACCGCGGCAGTTGTTGTCACTCGCGGCAGGGTGCCCTAGGGGGGGTTGATAGCATGGTACAGTGACAGTCAAGACAGTGTACAAACACTGGAGTCCAGGGAGAGCAGGAGAGACACTGCAGAGTCGCAAAAAAGTCTAATCTCCAGAATTTGGGCTTGTGCCAGAAGTCTGGGGAAGTTCAAGGGTGACCACTGGAGCTCGGTTTCGCTCGCACAAAAGGTCGGACGAAAATTTGTCTTGGCAGAACTCGAGAGCTTATTGCCCTACCTTGGGTGGTACGCCAAGTAACAGGTATGCCGAAATGCAGATTGACATCTCACTTGGTCAGATTTGACCCAGTTTGCGATGCTGCCGTTGTGACAATGTCTGTTCGATGGGTGGGATTCCTCGTCGGCCACGTCAAGTATCCGTACTCTAGATAGAGTCTAGACAAGGAATGCTCCTTACCGCAGTTGTGAAAGTTGCCGCCGCCAAGAAATAGTTCAGAGCACAAGAGACGAAATTGCAAACACATACCCCAAAAGGCTGAGACGGTGTGTTTTTTCACATTCTGAATACGGAGATCCGACTCTTGCTTGAATTTAGTGTGTGTGGACTTTTGGTCCCCATGGTCTCTGTACGATGGGGACATGGAGACTTTTTCGCATGGGTGGAGGAGGGGAAAATGGTTCGATGCCGGTGCCATGACGCGGGAGCTCAGAGATAAGGTGCAATTCACGTGTAAAATCAATGTGTCCCGCATTACGGCCACTGGCTGGCCGTCCGCTGGTTGGCGGCGGCGGCAGCGGTGGCCTGTCACTGAGGTCCCGTCACCGGTCAGGGCTACTCAGGGCGGAGAACTAACACTAGTTAGACTTTGGTTAACAGAGTGATTAATTACTGGACTCCGACTCGACGGAGGAGCGGAGGAGTGACGAGGAGGAGGGGCAGTTGTTCGTTGAAGAGTGAACATCTCTAGGCTCTGAAGTCTGGAGTTGTTCTGGACAGACCATTGTCATTGAGTTGGGATATTCGAAGACTGGTGACACCCAAGTCAAAGACCGACAGCAAGGAAGAGATCGGGGACCGCTGGATTCCCACGCGTTCGGGGTTCCCAAATGGGGACGGCGTCTCATTGTCCAATGCCTATGCAGGTCGCCCGCAGGTGGTCTGGGAATGGCGTGGTCGGTCCGACGTTGGAACTTGGGGACGCGAGCCAGGACGCTTGGGGTTTGTGGAGATTGCCTGAAACGGAGGAGGAGCACATTGGACGATTGTTAGAAATGGAGGTTTGTAAGATTTCGAATGTCACTGAGTCGAGTTGGGTCGAGTTGCGAAAGAATGACAGCCCAAGAGCCCAAGAGGAGCTCCCTGTTCCTGCTCAACTATTGTCCATAGCAAGAAGACGCGGGAGAAATAGAGGATGTTGTTGATTCCGCTAAGGTAGCAACCCTCGGTTGAAATGCAACTTCCAAGAGACAATGAGAACTCTTACTCAACCGAACCGAGAGTCTCCTCGGGGCTTGCAACTCTAGACACCACATCCAGAGTCTCTAGAAACTCCAAGACTTGTTTGACGACGGGAATCACTGCCCGAGGTTCGGGTTTCGGGGCTGGCGCGCTAAGACACGAGAGAACAAGATTCACCCCCATCGTCTGTTCCCCTCCTCCATTGCGGCCTTCATCCTGTTGCTCCTGTGCTCCTCTCCCTCCACCTCCACCACCCATTACCACCATGGCACCATGCACATTGCAGCGTGCACCGCTAGCTCGGCCTGCCATCCCCTGCCTCCCTGTCCGTTCCCTGTCGCCTTTCCTCCCGAAGCCGCCCATCTGGCTGAGGTGAGCAGGCCGTGCAGCGACACCCAACCCAGTGAACCCACCTGCTAACCCCCAACCGAGCGTTGTAACACAGAATGGAACCTTGGAGGAGGAAGAAAAAAAAAAAACCCCCCTACCTGCGTAGAGAGAGAGTGTGTGTGTGAGAGAGCGCCAGACGCCGCCGCCAGGATGGTCGAGGTACCTCAGAAGCAGGCGGGCACGGCCGGCGGCGGAGGCGGCGCGGTGTCTCTCGGCCTGTGAAGAAAATTCCCCATACCTCTGTGCAGTGTCCAGTGCTGATTACTGAAATAAGACGTGTCTGCCTTCCACACCAGCCTTCCTGCCTTCGGTTTCTTTCTTCTCATCTCTTCATTTTCTTCCCTCCTTCAACACCAAACCGACTAGATCGCTCTCCTCCCTGCTGATAAAGTTCTGCCACGCGCCAGACACCCCAATTGCATTTACCGTCAAACATACAAAAAGCCACAGGCGCCCAAAAGTCTATACCACCCTTGATACCCGTCGCTAGCGCGTACCGCACACACCCCAGCTTTATCATCACAGGCGAGGAGGAGAGCTCAACCACCAAACTTCTTTTTCCCTCCTACACATATTTTGGTCCACCACCGCCCACACCAACAAACGAGCTTCGGACCTTTTCGGAATCACCACCCCAGCACATCTTTCGAGACCTTTTCCACTCGACTCATTTTATATACCCTCAAAATGTTCGCTACCAGAGTCCTCCGCCAGGCCGCCGCCCACGCCGAGCGTACCCCGAGCATCAAGTTCCTCGGCCGCCGCTCCATTCCTTGTACGTCCGCTCTATCTGAAGTTCTCACCAACGCCCGTTCCCACGATACTAACGAACCCTCACCAGCTTCCATCGACCACAGCCCCGCGCCTCACCCAGCTTCGCCCACCGGCAAGCTTCCCGCCAACTTTGGCAACGGCTCCGCCTCCCCCAAGCACACCAGCTTCAGCTCCTACCGCGACCACGCCCAGCAGCACGGCCCCCTCCAGCGCACCATCGGCTCCGGCGTAGGCGGCTCTACCGGCCACCAGCTCGGCTCCGTCGTTCCCCCCTCTGGCGTCGCTTTCGACCGCTCCGAGCTCCCTGCCCGTTTCCGCCGCCAGCCCCTCGACATGGCTGAGATTGAGGCTGTCGAGTCCGGCGGCGCTGCCCTCTTCGGCTGAGTGTGATGTCGGAACGATGAACGGAAAACGGAACGCGCCCTTGTTGCCTAACGGTCAAGGGAGACATTATTTACCATGACATCCGCGGGCTGGACTACGAAAACATGAGCGACGATGGCGCGGAGACGAGGAAGAGACGGAACGGGTGGGGAGAGTTGGGCGAGGTTCACAAAAGTAGGCGATGACAAACACGTGTGTACGAAACGGCGAGACCACAGCGACGGTGGACATCTCACCCTCCGCGTAGGCCGTCGACCACAAAAGCCCCCGGGATTGGGGCCTTCGGCAGGACACGGAACAGTCGGCAATATTGATTCGTCACGGCACGCTCGTGACCCAACGGCAAGGGAAAAGTTACAAAAGCGGTTTACTATGGCGGCTTCGTGATATCCATTGCAATGGAAGCGATTCTCGACCGTCAAGTTAGGAGCTTTGCTGGGACAATACGGGATTTTTACTAGGAGTTATCCAACACCCAAGCGGACACAGGCAACAAAGACCTGTCTCTTGCTTTGGCCTTTTTCTATACCTAGTCTTCAACCTTTCCTTTTACCGTCGACATCAGGATCCTGTACCGATAGTCTAGACTCGTCACACACACACACACACCAACAGACCCCGTGCATAAAAGCAAGTTTACTTCACTATCTCGAACCGAAACCCCTCCTTCCGAATACTTCTCGTGATCATGTGCGCTGAGCCGAGCTTCATTGAAATAAATCCCATGTGAAGCTGCTATCCAAAACTACCTCAGTATCAAGCAAAGCACCTGCAGCTAATGTAATGTAACCACCTTTCGGAACTACGAACCAATGCTTAGCAGGCGCGGCTTACCACCTAGTTGGCCCGCATGTGATAGGCTCTCGCCCGCAGCTTTGGAGAAGCGCGCACCCTGCGTCCGTAGCTCCGGGAACAGTTTGGGGAAATCGTGCCACGTTTGATTTCCCTTGGCCCATGGGGAAGTTCTGGTCTGTTTCTATAGGCACATGCAGGTGTTATAACTAGGCATCCCAAGGTTGGCTACTGAGCACCTATGCAAAAACGCAGCTTGGACGTTAAAAATCATCCGATGGAGTCCTTGAGGCTTGAGCTACCCGCTTCCGTCAATTCCCGAGGTAGCCGACTTGCCAACGTCCACCCGAGCTTGGAGCCTCAGCCACCAACTTTTGCATTGTGACCTGGGTCGGAGGCTTGACGTCGGTTGCTGGTCTGTGCAGAATGGCACCTAAGCGTGTATAGATAGATGTACAATGGTTTTATGGATCTCGTTGAGATCAGGGACCGCTTTGCGGTTGCTTCATCTATGAGGTTCTCACGGTCTACGCGAGACGATTAGATGAAATAAAAGCAGGTGAACAATGGCTATAGCCACCCACAGGAGCAAGTGCACGACTGAAGGTCCCCTGGATTCGGTCCGCCTTGGAGGAAATCTCGTCTCACAGCTACTTACACCGCAGGTGTACCTCGTTCACGGGTACCTTTCATTCTGAGAAATAAAGGTAATCTCAAACTATTCACAGCTTGGAAGTCAACCCCAACACACCCCAAGCCCCAATAACAATCCCCGACGTGGCTCTAAACATAGCTGATCCAAACTCACCCTCCCGCCAGCAAACATACCCATCAACGAGCCCAACGTACACCAGCAGAGCCATGATGATATCTACCCCAGCATAGTCTCCGCGAAGATACATGATCAGCTGGACCATTCCTAGGACAGAGAGTCGGGCTCCATCGAGGATGAAGCACGATTGCGCTATAGGTGACTCTGCGAATCTTTCTGGCAGCCCGAAGGAGCGGATTCCGGCGTCTCTGGCGAAGAATGGGACGATGCCGCCGAGGGTGTGGGCGATGGTCACGAATAGTGGGAATAGATGGGGGAGTCTGAACTGGCGCGACATGGTGGCTTGTATTTTTTGTTTTACGCGAGGCATCTAACTGCAATATGTCAAGATTCAGTTCGACAGCACAAATTTATTCCGACTTTCTTCTGATCAACAGATCATGCTACGTAGCGAGATGTCTACCTAGTATCACGTGGCAGTAAGCACTAAAGCTCACCGAGGCAGAATACCTAGGGATAGCATCAACAGGCTTGACTGAGGCAATGGCCAGAAGCACCAGCCACATATGTATAGCTTCAGCCACAGGCTATCGGTGGAATATCGGATTATGGGATCCAGCAGCTTGGAATTTTGCTGACACATCAATCCGCCAGAGCTTCCGTGGACCGTGGCCATCCCGGCGTCATCGGAAGCACCCGACAGACAGTCCCATCATCCAACCACCCAATCAAACGGCGTCAATCACATCATCCCAAAATAAAAATTAACAGATGCGCATGGAAGACGCAGAAAGTAAAAGTCCCCACCTAAAAAGTCGTTGCATCCCGCTCGTTCGTCGCGGAATCGTGAATCAACCCCCTTCACGAAACCAGCCAAGAACCAACGAAACGAACGCGCCCTCTCCCTTGGGCCTTCAGCTGCGCCAACGCAGAGATTCAATGCGGTTCCTGTCGCAAGACCCCTCCCAGCTACGACGCCCCAAGATCTAGACAAACAAAGAAAGAAACACCACTGCGACCCTATCCCCGGGTTCTGGATCTAGGCCCCCGTCCCGCATCTGGTTACCCGTCAAGCCGCCAAACCCATCGAGGGGTTCAAAAAGGATCAGATCCTTTTGCCTCCTACTTCCTTGAGGACTTCCATTCCTGGATATCTTTGACTGGTATGAACCGTAGCATCTCTACTCAATTACATACCAAACCTCCAAAATGAACGCCGACCTCGTAGATCTTGTTTTCCTAACCCGCTTTCAACCCTCAGTTACCATATCCTCCTCCGTCGCAATCGACTACGAAGACCATCCTCACCACATAATGTCAGACTCCAGCAACGGCGCCGCGCCCGAAACGTGCCCCGTCGACCACAAGGCCCGCGAAGCCTGGCTCCAGCACGCCCGCGCCGCGAACCCAGACGCTGCTCAACCTCCTCACCCGCCGCACCCGATACCCCCGACACAGGCAGGATCGCCACAGTCCCAGCAATCACAGTCATCATCCTCCTGGACGCAATCTCTGCTGTCTTTGACGCCCTTTGCCTCTTCCTCGGCGCCGCCAATGTCTACGAGCCCCTCCGCGACACAAGCTCCCGCCGCCTCCGCCGATGCCTCCGCCGAAGTCTGTCCCGTAGACCACAAATCCCGCGAAGCCTGGCTCGAACAAGCCCGCGCCGCCTCCGCCGCGAACGGTTCCTCAACTCCTCACACACCACACCCCCATCACACCTTCGAAGCCGCGCCATCATCACCAGAGCCCTCGCAATCATGGACGCAGTCCCTAAAGTCCTACATCCCCTTCACCTCATCAACGACAACCACAGAATCAAACACACCGATCCCCACACCATCCGCACCCGCCAAATCAGGCCTCGACACCGAGCGCGAGGTCTCGACGATTCCAAGGACAGCGACGTCGGCGTACCCGGGCACCAGCCGCCCCTCCAACCACGAGCAAGAGACGGGCTCGGACGAGGCGACGGGGAACTGGATATACCCTTCCCAAAAGATGTTCTTTGATGCGATGAAGCGCAAGGGCCACGATACTCGCGCGCAGGACATGGCGACCGTGGTGCCGATTCACAACGCCGTCAACGAGAGGGCGTGGAAGGAGATTAAAGAGTGGGAGGCGCCTTACCTCGAAGGCACAGCGTAAGTAAACCCCTCATACCATGGTTCTGGATTCAACCCAGCTCCGTCCATCTACCAAAGAACGAAGTAGAAGAAGAAAGCTAATACAAGCCCAAAGCTGCGACGGCCCCAAACTACACTCCTTCCTCGGCCTCAGCACAAACATGTCTCCCAAGGCGCGCGTGAATACCCTGCTGGGCTACACCCCGCCCTTTGACCGCCACGACTGGGTCGTCGACCGCTGCGGCGTGCAGGTCGAATACGTCATTGACTTTTACGCCGGACGCCCCGACGCCCGTGGGAAGCCCAGCTTCTACTTGGACGTGCGGCCGAAGCTGAATAGCTGGGAGGGCGTCAAGATGAGGGCTTTGAGGGGTGTTGGGTTGGCTTGAGAGGGGAGGGCACTGGACCGCTTCCATCTGGGCTCTGATGGCTTCTGTATCTCGGGCGAGATGGAGGCGCGTTGAGAGTGTATAAAGACGTGTAATAAATGTACAAATACTTGCAGCATTGGAGACTGGCGTATTTATCTTGTCTTGTGGGAAGAATATCCCAAGGACCACGAAGAAAGAACTACTCAATTTCAGATCATCTCTTGTAGACATTGACGACTAAAATGCTCGTAGACGTGACATCACGGCCGCAGCTGGCACGATTCAATCATCCTTACTGGCAAAGTTTGCGAACTCATATCTTCTTTTTCGCCTCTCTCATAGCTCGAAGACATAGCTCGAAGAACAACGCCCACCATGTGATGTGTGCGCGAGGTTGATTGACTCTGCGATTCGCAAGCGAATCACGTAGACGGGCAAGCGTTCATACATAACCCGTGTTGTCGCCAAAGAGGTAGGTACATTTCTCCAGGAAGACATACAACTAAGGGACAAGATCCAATCCCATGCTTCCGTATGGGCCCCTATTGCTTGGAAGCCTTATTTATCATGTCCTCGAAAGTACAATCGTCCATCATCCTAGCGTGCCTCAGGAAACGCAATCAACGAAATTAACAACAAGAAATCACCCACGAAATGCCGTTCGCACGTCATCATGCAGGTAATTACCAGTGCTTCAACCCAAGTCATGCCCTGATTCCCGACGCTGCCACTCCCGCTTTCGGTTCCGGTCTCGACATGGACAGCGACGGCTGCAGGGGCCCGGGGGCGAAGATCGGGATCCTGTAAGAGCCGAACACCCGCAGCCAGTCCGACGTTACTTGGCACCACGGCGCCCGGGATCTGTGCCTGGTTCTAACCGAGACTCCAGTGTATAGAGTTCTTTTGAAACCATTCGTGGAAGACATGATTTGTGGTTCTCCCCTCTAAGGCATACCTTGATTGGAAGTTATGTTTATTGAGCGGCAGAGAAATCTACAATACTATCTCTGAAAGGTAATATCGTCGGGTATTCAAGTGCATAGCTACATATCCCATGGCATAAGCGTGCCATATGCCCTCGTACGGATGGCTGTTCTTCAAAATCGCCCTGGACCGGTTGTACGCAACCACAGTCTCCAGGATTGCGGAGTCTAGTATAGACAAGGGACTTTGGTTTAGACTCAAGGCTTGTTTGTGGATATAGTTCCTAACTTCACCTGCCTTTTCCTCCTTGTAAAATCTGCAATTCCATGTTAAGATTCTAGTTGCTTTTTAATCATCACAAGCAAAGGGACGGGCACTTACGATAATATGTCATTGGTCAGATTGATAAACTTGCCCATCTCGGGCGCAGCTGGCAGGAAGCACGCGATATCCGGACACGTCTCTTTGTAGAAGCAGAAATAGGTGTACACCTCTGGAAGGCCCTCTTTATCTCGAAAGTAGTACGGCCAGCTGACTGTCTCTTTTGACAGGACGATTGTGTGGTACTGCGGCCGGATCTCAATCGCGTTGGAGTTGACAAAGGCTAGAGCGGACAGCACGATCAGGTTGGCGACTATTGGATCGTAGTACTTCTTTGTCGACTTTAGCACATCGGCAAAAGCCTGTAAGAGTGCTGAGGGTTGCTGTTCTCCCATCAGAAGCCGTGTCTGGAATTGTTCTAGGTCTGGCCCTAGCTCGGCGTTCATGTCGTCGATGATGAAGCCGAACCAGGTGAAGAGACCGATGTGGATCTGAATTTCGAGGGGATGGAGAGGATACATTTCCTATTGAGAGAGTTCAGAAGTGTCAAGAGGAGCACCTTAATGGAGAGCCTACGGCAGCGACAGCTAGTCCGGCCTCGAATCGCATTTGCGAAGCATCGTCGGTTTCGAGGTGGACACCGCTTCGGAGTGCTCTATCGAGGAGAGCTATCCTCAATGCTTTCTTGTCGACTTCTGGGGGCGAGACGTAGCTGATGGCATTCAGAAACGTGGGGATCAGACATGACAGCGTCTGCCGAAGATCCGTGTCTTTATCAAGTTGATCGGTCGGGACTACCACCGGTGGTTGAAGCATATTGCTATCACAAAGGCCGCAGTCTACGATGCTGATCAAAGTCCGAGTTCACCAACCAGTGGAGGGATAAGGCCCACTGTATCTTTTCAAGTCTTTATCGTTTGAAGAGGAGCCACCCCGAGTCATACAGCCTGAATATCATTGATCAGTACGGATACACGGAATGGACCCCTTCTCTTCACCGCCGCAAAGGGACATATTGGCTGCCTCAAATCTTCCATCTTGCAGGCTTGATGCCCCACGGTATGCGGAAGGAAGGAATCAATGCATCCCCCATCACACTTATGGTTTTCAGCTCCTCTTATCATAGGTTGTCGGTGCGAGCTTACGGTCAGCGACGCAACGCGCTAGCTCGGCGTAAGCCGGTCTAGCCCTGGACGATCGCGATATCCACTCCTTCAATATTATCATGGGTGTTGGCTTACAAGGGGTACCAAAATGGATTGGAAATATTGATTTTTGTGCCTGCTTTAGAGAAACTTCTAAAGTGATGCCTAAACTCTGGATTCGTCTTCTTCAGTTGAAAGGCCTCCCCACTTCTGGTTTCGAGTTGGCCTTGACAATTTGACATCGAGAAAATGCCTTCTCTACTGTATCAGTCCGCAGTCGCGTTACCTTGGACACCACTTGGCCAATTCAGCGGTATCTTAGTTGCGGTGTACTTGGTTATCACTACCTTGAGATCATGGGTTCGTTTATCGCATATCCCTGGCCCTTTCCTGTCTTCATTATCTTATTGGTCCATGTTTCGGATCCGCACTCGAGGCTCTCGCGGGTACCTCGAGTATGTTAAACTATCGACAAAATATGGCGAGCTTGTCCGCATAGGCCCCAATGACTTGATCACGTCTGATGTACAACTCATCAGGCGCATGTCAGCGGCTAAGTCAACTTATGGACGGAGTAGCTGGTACAAAGCCACCCGGCTGGACCCGTATCACGACATGATGGGCAGCGTACTCGATAAGTCTGTTCATCATGCCTTGAGAACAAAACTGCAGCCGGGATACCTGGGCAAGGACATTCCTGGGTTGGAAGCCAGCATTGATTCTGGTATAGCGGACTTGGTGAGCTTGATTCGAAGAAGCTACGCCACCAAGTTGTCTTCGCGGGAAGCAGGAAATGCAGAGATCATAGGACTTCCGGAGCAGACGGCTGTAGACTTTGGTCGACTCGCACATTACTACGCCATGGATGCTCGCTCGAGGATGTCGTTTGGACAGCCCCTTGGGCTTCTGCGGAAAGATTCAGACGTCTTTGGATTGGTTGCCATGTCAAATTTGGCCATAGACGTCTTGCAGTTCTTTACGGATATTCCGCCGCTCCAACGTATTTTTACATCGGATCTTGCTCTACGGCTGCTTGGTCCCAAAACGACAGACAAGAGTGGCTTTGGAAAGATCATGGGGTATGTCTCTTTGCCTTTGCTATGCATATCCTATTTCGCAGTCTCTGCCAGTATAACGAAGCTAATGTGGACAGACTTGCCAAAGAACATGTTGCCACTCGGTTTAGTCCTGACGGAAAAGATGAGCCTGACTTACTTGTAAGTTGTCAACTGCCATAAGACGACCCCAAGAGACTTTGGTAGTCCGCTAACGCGAACTCGACAGGGGTCATTCATACGTCGCGGTCTGGATCAGCGCTCGGCGCAGTCCGAAATCATGTTTCCAATGGTCGCTGGTTCCGACACAGCAGCAAAGGCCATAAAATGGACGATGCACTATATACTTTCTGACCTCTCTGTGTATGGGTCTCTTGTAAAAGAGATTGAGGATGCGGTGTCAGAAGGAAGGATATCAGACCCCATCACGTATCAAGAGGCCCAGAAACTGCCATACCTTCAAGTACGTCAGATAATGAAGAGCCGGTCTGTTCGATTTACCTTGAGACCGACTACTAAACCATGTTCGAAAACAGGCAATCATATACGAGTCCCTCCGTGTGAAACCCCCTTTTGCTGGTCTGGTAATGAAACAGGTTGGGCCCGAGGGTGATATCTACAATGGCATCAAGCTGCCTGCAGGCACCAGAATTGGGCACGACGTGACGTCGGCGACCCACGACAAAAGACTCTTTGGCCAAGATGCTGAGGTATTCCGACCTGAGCGGTGGCTTGAAGCCGATGCTGAGACGGTTAAGTCGTGGAAGAAGCAGACTGAGCTCGTGTTTGGTGCTGGCCGATGGCGATGCACAGGCAAGTCTGTCGCTTTCTTGGAGTTGAACAAGATATTTGTCCAGGTGAGTAATTCATCGTGATCTAAATGCATGGTTCGGGTGATGATGCTAATCCTATGCATTAGCTCATTCGGAACTTTGACTTCCAGTCTTCGGATACTGAAATGTTTGTAAAAATCTCCGATCGTGGGAAGGTGTACTAGGGAAAGAAAGCAGGTCTTGAGATTGATGATTATGACTATGTGACGACCTCGTTTTACGAGACATGACTATAAAGATTGGGTTATTTTGGTCCCGAGGAGTCTAATAATATAATGGCGCGATACTACTCCATCCAAGCACCTGATAGACCCCCAAAGTCAATCAACCGCCTTCAAAGTCGCTGCATTCTCAGCAAGACTCAGGCATCTCTACTCCGTGAACACCAATAGAAATACCAATCTACCTCGATGGTTATTTAGACTGTGGCCATTAGTCATGGCGACTCAGTAAATTTCGAGCGGTGTCAATGTTATTATGTTATTAACTCTCCGAAAATGGGCCAACTCGGTGGTCCGTCCACTTCGGCCGAGATCGGGCAGGTTGGTCAAAAATTTGCGCAATTGCATAATGAAAATGCGTCTTCTGCGCCCTGTACTCCCTCTGAATTGACAGTATCCCCATTGTTTCTGTTTAGTCCACAGTTGAATAAGTGAAGAGTGCGGCCCGCCTGCTTGGTGCTGTAAGGCCATAAGTCATCAACCACCAAACTAGAAACTCACGATGTCGACCACAACCACAGTGGAGCTGGTCAACGCACCAACAACACCACTCCCACAATTCTCAGCTTCCACGTCAACAACATCGCAGTCACTGAACCAGACTACTGTTTTCCCCGAGAATGGTCAAAATGGAGACCTTTCAAAGGGTAAAACCATGGTTGTCATCTCCTCAGTGACCTGTATTACAGGCATTAGCTCCCTTCTAGCCGGCATAGTTACTGTTTGCATTCCGGCCATGGCTCGAGATGTTCATCTTGATGGCAACCTTCTCTTATGGTAGGGACTAGTGCTAGACGACTCATATCGTTGTACACTCATTCTAATAGTAACAAGGCCTGCCTCTGTTTACGCCTTGACCTGCGGATGCACACTCCTGCTATCTGGCGCCATGGCCGATCTCTACGGTGCTCGAACACTCTATCTTATGGGATGTTTCTTGCAATCAGTCTTCACCCTTGCCTGTGGGCTGGCGAACACGGGAATCCAGCTCATCATGTTCCGTGCCTTTGCCGGAATTGCCATCTCCATGTGCCTCCCCTCCGCCGTTAGTATCATAACGCACGCGTTCCCCATGGGCAAGAGAAGAAACATCGCCTTTGCATCGATGGGCGGAGGCCAACCAATTGGGTTCTCTGTTGGACTCAGTGTTGGAGGTGTGTTCACAGATACGATTGGCTGGAGATGGGGATTCCACATCGCCGCAATCATCAACACAATCATCTTCCTTATTGCACTGAAGTGGTTGCCTGGCATCGGCAAGAGAGGGCCGGTCACTTGGCACAGGTTCAGGACCGAGGTTGACTGGGTTGGAGCATTCCTCGCCAGTGCCTTCCTCTCAATGGTCTCTTATGTGCTTGCGTGAGTTTAGCATGCGCCCTCTGTTTAGAGAGCGAGATCAACTGACAGGACGTTGACAGTGCGATCACCGACAGCACTCAGGACATCAAGAAACCAGAGAATATCGCGCTGCTCGCCATCTCTGCCGTGTTAATCGGCGGGTTCGTTGCCTGGGTCGAAAGACAAGAGCGCTTGGGTAAACCAGCCATTATCCCAAACTCACTCTGGAAGAACCGCAGCTTCACTTGCATCTGCATCAGTGTCTTCATGGTATGGGGTGCCTTCAACGCGACCGAGCAGCTCAGCTCGTTTTACTTCCAATACGTGCAGCGGCTCACCGCAATCGACACATCGGTGCGCTTCCTGCCGGCCCCCGTGGGCGGAGTCCTGGCCAATATCGTCGCCGGTCTCGTGGTCCACCGCGTCCGGGCAGACCTAGCGATTCTCATCGCCGTCGCCCTGGCGTGCCTGTCGCCGCTATTGATGGCGATCGCTGACCCCGCGTGGTCTTATTGGATCTGCGTGTTCTGGGCAATGTTTATGAACGCTATTGGCGCTGACACGTTATTCACAATCTCTAATCTGCTGATCACATCGCTGTTTCCGGCCAAGAAGCAGGCCGTGGCCGGAGGGGTATATAACGCCATTGCCCAAATCGGTAAAAGCGTAGGGCTGGCTTCATCGGGCGCCATTGCGAGTGCCGTGACTGCCCGGTCGAACCTCGCCGACAAGGAGAGCCCGATGGCGTTGTTGGAGGGTTACCGGGCGTCGTTTTGGTACTGCTTTGCGCTTTACGGCGCAACCTTGTTTGTGACGGTTTGGGGACTCAGAAAGATCGGCAGAGTGGGTGTCAAAAAGGAGTAAATAGGAAACCGAGAAAAGGGAATTGGGGGAACCACCGGGGCAACGGGGCAAACGGGTTGATGAGTAACCCTCCCCGTTCCTCTCCAGCCAGAAGCTTCTCGCTTTGCGAGATGACCAACAGAGTTTCAAGTGACGCAGCGGAAACTCTACTTGGCAGCGGACTTTTTCTGCCAAGAGATGCCATCTTAATGCTTACCGAAGTATGAAGAGAAAACCACGTCAACGCCGGTCAAAAAGAGGTTCTGGACTTCCCCTCTAGTCGAAGCTTATGCTGCGGGGAGATTCCTAGGAATTTCTCGGTCGTTCGGGAGGGACGATCTGCGTCGTTGCGCAGCGCACTACGAGTTGACCTGCAATGCAAGGCCTGACTCAGCGGTCTGATATTTTAGCCGATTGCAGGACCCCGGGACCCGAGAATGTGGAAAAGGATCAAAAAGGGGTGAATCACATCAGTTGAGAATTATGTATGTTTCGCCCACCTCACGTGGAAACACTCAACGATGCTGAACAATAATGCACCTTCACTAGTCGGAATCCGTAGTTCCATCTTAAATTGAATCTCACACCGATGGTCTAACATCTAAGTCTTATGCATCAAAGTTCGGTGGCTGCAAAGTGACGTCTACTCGGGGGCGACGGACTCGCAGTTTTGTTTAGCTCGCTGAAGAATCTGGCTCAACTTCTCAAATTGATCACAACAACTGCGCTGGGTTACGGAAACCTAAACTCCGCAACACAGCAACAGAAATTATAAGCATCTTCTGGAAGTAAGGGGGAAATTTCGTGTCTTTATCAATTAACAATCCATAATCTGCAAACTCCGACACAAAATACCCACTGGCTGACAATCATCGGTACCTCGGGGACGGGAGTTCCGCTGGTGGAATGCGTATCCGTACTGCGTTACTGCGTAAGCTTCATTTCGGTGCGCTGTGAACAGCCGCAGCCCTGCCCAGCGTAAATCTCCCGTATGTCTGCCGGTGGCCCCATCCCGATGTGACGCCAGATTTACGAGCAACGCAGAGATGTACGGTGGGCCTACGCTACAGAATCGCATGCTTGGCTGAGTGCCAGAGACAAAACGGCACCAAACTGGGAGCCACCATGATGCAATCGGAAAACAGCAGGGCGTCTCGACCACAGTTAGCCCATGTTCTGACCGTAAACGGCTTAGCAAGCTTAGCAAAGCCTAGTTTCTGACTCGTCTCTAGGGCCGCAGCGTGGCTCTTGCACCCAAACTGGAAGAGTTATCGAGCCTCTCGGGCCACTCCAAGTCCCCGAGTCGGGGACGGACTGTGATGGCAGACAACAACCCGCCCGCTCCGCCATCCATGCTGGTGGGAACTCGGAAAGCCCAACATGCACTCCGTGCACTAGGGACACGCTCGCTTTCTCCCCTAGCTTACACATCTTGTGCGCGACAGTTCGGGGTTAGAGTACTCACCCGGGAGAATGCCTTCATGTCTGGCAAGGGGTGACCTCATAGCCACCGGCCGGCCGGTCGGCGGGAGCACTGCGAACTCCGCACCAACTGGTCTCGGCCGTCTGCTAGAGTCGCACAACAAACTCAGAGCCCAGCTGGCTTGGCGGGATCACGGCTCTAGCTCGGTGGCCCCGGGAGGTTGGCCATGTCCGCAAGCGTACAACGTAGATCTGCTTCCACCATGGGTTCTTGATATAATATAGTCATCCGAAACCCATACATCCAAATTTCGTTTTTTAGTCTTCATCGAATATTCCATACAGTCTGTGAGCATCTTACACATTGCAACATACTTTAGCAAACACTTCAGCACCATCACCAATCGGCTGTGCGACTAATACCAACAACCTTAATTTCAGCTCATCTGAGCTTCGCCCCTGGTCATCACATCTACAACCATGGAGGACAGAACAGCAACCCGAGGTAGCTACGGCACAACTACCTCTTCAGTCACAATGAACGGAGAACAACGAACATCATCCGAGCAGCCCACCGGCGGCTTTGCTCCCATCAACACAGGAAAGAATGGCGATTCCTCCGACGAAGAATATGGAGACATTTCCAGCCCTACGAGAGATACCCACCGCGATACGATGATGATCGACGAGGAGGATAGGAGAGAACTTCAGAGAATCGCAACAAACCTTTCGCGGCACCAAAGTTTGGCCAGCAATGGCCGTCCTCTTTCGACACATATCTCTTACGGCCAAGACGATCCCGCCTTGGACCCTGCAAGCAAGTCTTTTGATCTTTCAAAATGGCTCCAGGCTTTCATGCGAGCCATGCAGAATGAGGGGATCACCCTCAAGCATGCTGGTGTCGCCTACAAGGATCTCAACGTTTCTGGTACCGGCGCTGCTTTGCAGCTGCAACAGACCGTTGGTGACTTCCTTCAAGCACCTCTCAGAATCGGCGAGCACATCAGCTTCGGAAAGAAGGAGCCTAAGAGGATTCTCAACAGCTTCGATGGCCTGCTCAAGAGCGGCGAGCTTTTGATCGTTCTTGGTCGCCCTGGTTCCGGATGCAGTACACTCCTGAAGACGATGACTGGTGAACTCCAGGGTCTGAGTATTGGAGACGAGTCTGTCATCCACTACAACGGCATTCCGCAAAAGAAGATGATGAAGGAGTTTAAGGGAGAGACCGTTTACAATCAGGAGGTTCGTTCCCACGTTCCAATACTTTGTTTTGTATTCGCTAACAACGTTCAATTTAGGTCGACAAGCATTTCCCCCATCTTACCGTCGGTCAAACACTCGAATTCGCCGGCGCTGTTCGCACACCATCTAACAGACCCATGGGCCTGAGTCGCGAGGAGGCTCACAAGAGAGGAGCCCAGGTTGTCATGGCAGTCTGTGGTCTCAGCCACACCTACAACACCAAGGTCGGAAATGACTTCGTTCGTGGCGTCTCTGGCGGAGAGAGAAAGCGTGTCTCCATCGCTGAGATGATGCTTGCTGGCTCTCCCATGTGCGCATGGGATAACAGTACTCGTGGCTTGGATTCCGCCACCGCTCTGAAGTTCGTTCAGTCGCTGCGCCTTGCCTCCGACTTCACCGGCAGTGCCAACGCTGTTGCCATCTACCAGGCCAGTCAGGCCATCTATGACCTCTTCGATAAGGCTGTCGTTCTTTACGAAGGCCGCCAGATCTTCTTCGGCCCTGCCACTGCTGCTAAGTCCTACTTCGAGCGCATGGGTTGGGAATGCCCCCAGCGTCAGACCACGGGAGACTTCTTGACCTCGGTCACCAACCCCATCGAGCGCAAGGCTCGCCCGGGCATGGAGAACCAGGTTCCCAGAACCCCCGAGGACTTCGAGGCATACTGGCGTGCATCTCCCGAATACCAAGCTCTCCGCCAGGAGATCGAGCAGCACACCGACGAGAACCCGATTGATCCCCACGGCCATGCTCTCACTGAGCTTCGCCAGCAGAAGAACGACAGGCAGGCGAAGCATGTCCGCCCCAAGTCTCCTTACCTCATCAGCTTGGCGATGCAAGTGCGGCTTACCACGAAGCGCGCTTACCAGCGAATCTGGAACGACATCTCGGCTACAGCTACAGCGGCTGTTCTCAACATCATCTTGGCTCTCATCATTGGTTCAGTCTTCTACGGCACTCCTGACGCTACTTCCGGTTTCTACTCCAAGGGTTCGGTCTTGTTCCAGGCTATTCTCATGAACGCTCTCACTGCTATTTCTGAAATTAACAGTCTATACGATCAGCGGCCAATCGTCGAAAAGCATGCCTCCTACGCCTTCTACCATCCATCAGCCGAAGCCATCGCTGGTATCGTCGCAGATATCCCGATCAAGTTCGTCACGGCAACCTGTTTCAACCTCATCTTGTACTTCTTGGCTGGTCTTCGTCGGGAACCCGGTCAATTCTTCCTGTACTTCTTGATCACCTACATCTCCACCTTCGTCATGAGCGCCGTCTTCAGGACTATGGCAGCCATCACCAAGACCATCTCTCAGGCCATGATGTTGGCTGGTGTGCTTGTCTTGGCTCTTGTCATTTACACTGGTTTCGTCATCAGAGTTCCCCAGATGGTTGACTGGTTCGGTTGGATTCGCTGGATCAACCCCATCTTCTACGCCTTCGAGATCCTCATTGCCAACGAGTTCCACGGTCGCGAGTTCGTCTGCTCCGAGATTATTCCCGCATACACTCCTCTGATTGGCGACTCTTGGATCTGCTCGGCTGTCGGCTCTGTCGCAGGTCAGCGTACCGTTAGCGGCGATGCTTTCATCGAGACCAACTACCAGTACTACTACTCCCACGTCTGGCGCAACTTTGGCATCCTGCTGGCTTTTCTCTTCTTCTTCATGATCATCTACTTCGTCGCTACTGAGCTCAACTCCTCCACCACCAGCGCCGCCGAGGTTCTTGTCTTCCAGCGAGGCCGCGTCCCTGCTCATCTTCAGGATGGCGTCAACCGCAGCGTCACCAACGAGGAGATGGCTGTTTCCAAGGACCAGGACACTGAGGCCAACGTCAACTCAATCCCGCCCCAGAAGGACATTTTCACTTGGAAAGACGTCGTCTACGATATTGAGATCAAGGGTGAACCCCGCCGTCTGCTTGACCACGTCGATGGCTGGGTGAAGCCCGGAACTCTCACTGCCCTCATGGGTGTCTCCGGCGCCGGAAAGACGACTCTTCTCGATGTCTTGGCTCAGCGAACTACCATGGGTGTCATCACTGGCGACATGTTTGTCAATGGCAAGCCTCTTGACGCCAGCTTCCAACGCAAGACTGGCTACGTTCAGCAGCAAGGTATGCAACCTTCCCTTCTTAATATTGTTTGAACATTCAACTAACATCATCCAGATCTCCACTTGGCTACCGCCACCGTCCGCGAGAGCTTGCGCTTCAGCGCCATGCTTCGCCAGCCTAAGACTGTCTCCAAGGAGGAGAAGTTCGCTTTCGTCGAGGAGGTTATCGACATGCTCAACATGCGCGACTTTGCCGACGCCGTCGTTGGTGTTCCCGGCGAGGGCTTGAACGTCGAACAGCGCAAGCTTCTTACCATCGGTGTCGAATTGGCAGCCAAACCCAAGCTTCTTCTCTTCCTTGATGAGCCTACCAGTGGTCTCGACTCTCAGAGTTCCTGGGCCATTTGCGCTTTCCTCCGCAAGCTGGCTGATGCCGGCCAAGCCGTCCTCTGCACCGTCCATCAACCCAGCGCTATCCTCTTCCAGCAATTCGACCGCCTACTCTTCCTCGCCCGCGGCGGTAAGACTGTCTACTTTGGTGATATCGGCGACAATTCCCGCACCCTTCTCAACTACTTCGAGGGCCACGGCGCTCGCCGATGCGGTGATGAGGAGAACCCCGCTGAGTACATGCTCGAGATTGTCAACAACGGTACCAACTCCAGGGGCGAAGACTGGCACAGCGTCTGGAAATCTAGCAACGAACGCCACGGCGTCGAGGCCGAGATCGAGAGGATCCACCTCGAGAAGCAGCACGAGGAGGTTGCTGGCAGCGAAGATGCCGGTGCCCACTCTGAGTTTGCCATGCCCTTCAGCACCCAGCTTATGGAGGTCACCGGTCGTGTCTTCCAGCAGTACTGGCGCATGCCCAACTACGTCTTCGCCAAGTTCTTCCTCGGTATCGCTGCAGGTCTCTTCATCGGTTTCTCTTTCTGGAAGGCCGATGGCACCATGGCCGGCATGCAAAACGTTGTCTTCGGTGTCTTCATGGTCATCACCATCTTCTCCACCATTGTCCAGCAGATCCAGCCTCACTTCGTTACACAGCGTGCACTCTACGAGGTCCGTGAACGCCCTAGCAAGGCTTACTCCTGGAAGGCATTCATGTTTGCCAACATCATTGTTGAAATCCCCTACCAAATCGTCACCGGTATCCTCATCTGGGCTTGCTTCTACTACCCTATCATCGGCATTCAGGGCTCCGTCCGCCAGGTCTTGGTCATGCTGTACGCCATCCAGCTCCTGATCTATGCGTCCTCATTCGCCCACATGACTATCGCTGCCTTCCCCGATGCCCAGACCGCCTCAGGTGTGGTTACTCTCTTGGTCCTCATGAGTTTGACCTTCTGCGGCGTCTTGCAGTCCCCTACTGCTCTCCCCGGCTTCTGGATCTTCATGTACCGCGTGTCCCCCTTCACCTACTGGGTTGCTGGCATTGTCGGTACTCAACTGTCCGGCCGACCCGTCACTTGCTCTGCCACCGAGACCTCTGTCTTCAACCCGCCTGCCAACCAGACATGCGGCGAGTACCTGGCGGACTACCTCAAGCTCGCCCCTGGCCAGCTCCAGAACCCCGAGGCTACCGAGGCTTGCCGCTACTGCTCTCTCAGCAATGCCGACCAGTACTTGGCCGGCAGCAACATCTTCTACGATGAGCGCTGGCGCAACTTCGGTATCGTCTGGGCTTTCATCTTCTTCAACATCTTCATTGCTGTTATCTCTTACTACCTCGTCCGCGTCAAGAAGTGGAACTCCGGCTCATCCAAGCCCAAGAAGGAGTCCAAGGGAAAGGAGACGGCGGCCCAATAAGTTGATTACCTCAACTATTACAGTTTCATGTTTCATGGGAAAATCATAACAATACCTTAATATTTCATGTTTCATATAGCGAGCGTTGCTTTGGATATCCTCAATCAAAATAGTAGATTCATAGACTCAATATCTTGAAACCAAAGTTCATAAAAAGTTCCTATACGTGTCAACCTGCTCTGCAAAACCAGTGAAGTTTCCAAATCCACTCATTTTTATTTCTGTGGGAACGAGCCTCACCGAGGCAATGACATCGCGTGGCTCAAGCGATCCCTAGGCAACAAAGAAATCTTGAGACATTGTGTTGGGGTCCGTAGCGCATGCTGTTGCTGCCTGGTTGTGCATGGAGCTGTCCAACAGGATCAAAAGCTCTCAGCTTCGGCATTGAAGACTCACATCAGCTGTTTTGCAAACGGTTACCTCCAAACACTCAAAAACACCGACAATCATCCTAGAATGTCTTCCTCTTATACTGGCAATGTCCCGCCCCCTCCGCCCCAGCCGCTCGTCGCGAAGGCTTCAACTCCGCCCCCGGCCCCACCGCCGCCAACCGTGCCCCCGACAGGTCCCCCTGGAGCTTTCTTGGTCGAATTACTGATTTACAATGGCTCACCATTCAAAGACCACTGGGCGTACTTCGTGCGTTCTCATACCGAAGTTGATGTTGGAGTCAAGATTCATGCGACCGGTGATGTGCGTAATGGCTTCAAATTCGAGGTCAAACGCAGTCATGACCTCACAAACACTTCAGATATCCCTACAAAGAGAGTCCCGCTGCAGTGGGTCGATGCTCAGCACTTTGACGAAGACGTGATGCTCAACTGGGGAGTGGAAGAGATTGATGAGAGGCCTGTTTGCGGGTTCGAGGCCAGTGCATACAAGGCAAAGGCTCCCGAGAAGACTTTGAATGCAGCCGAAGACAAAGTGAGACTTTCGCTCGACTTCTCCAAACGGCCGCGATTCCTCTGAACAGAACACTTCATGCATATACGATGACCACCTGCTTAGGCAGGTCGTCCGAGGTGCTTCTTTACAAACATTTGTTTCTGCAATGCCTTCAAAATACTATACTAACAGAGATGCAAAGGATTCATCTGGCAAAAAGGTCATCCTCAAGGACTGCCAAACATGGTTGGTGGAGGCAGCGGGCTACCTTGTTGAAGATCGCATGTTCAGTCCTGAAGTTTCTATTTACCTGCACGCGATTAAGCAGTGAGTCTTAGGTGATCTCTCGAGGTTCCCAGATTTAGAGGTATTCAAGCTTTCTTTCAGCTCCGAGGTCACTGACTCAGACAAGACCCGACTCTGACTTTGAGTGTGGGAAACAAGGTCGGACTTAAGTTCACAGAGCAGCGAGCTTAAGTCCATGTCAGCTTGCAGACCGGGTTTAACAGATATAAGAATGCAGACTCCACGGACTTTCGCGTTTTCGCGACATTAGTAGATCAAATTCGAAAGTCAAGTTACTCGATCGTATGCTTTAGCATTTGTTTCTCCCCCAGGTGCACCCGTAGCAGCTAGTCATATATAGGATCTCTTATTCTCCAATTCGAAGAAACTTTGAATACACTTCACTCGATTTTCGTAAGCCTATTATTCCGAAACTGAGCCTCAAGTTTGATTCCTGATACCATTATGAAAGCCCTGACTTTAACACCAAAGGAGCATTCAGTTGCTGTACAAGATATCCCGACTCCGGAACCGGGGCCAAGAGAGATTCTTGTCCGCGTCAGAGCAGTTGCGCTCAATCATGTGGACGCGCTCTATACCTACAAGCCAATTGCGGCCCAAGAGTACCGCGTAATCGGCAGCGACTTCGCTGGGGAGGTCGCCAGTGTTGGCAAAGACATCCGAGATATCGATGACCCTCGTGTCAAGGTTGGAGCACGTGTAGCTGGCTTCGTGCAAGGCGGTCGGTTGAACAGCCCACGGCTTTTGAACATACCAGTGATGTACTGACTACGGATATGTAGCTTGTTCGGTCAACTACCGCCCAGGAGCTTTTGCCGAGTACGTCGTCATTGACTATGACCTCACATGGAACATTCCCATCGGGGTGTTGTTCCAAGAAGCTGCTACTATCAGTTTGTGTGGACTTACAGCCGCGCAGGGTGTCTTCAGCCGACTCGAGCTCCCGGGGCCATTCACCCAATCTCGAAATTTCGACCACCTCAGACTCGCCAACGAAGGGCCCGTGAACGTCTTCATATACGGCGCAACAACCTCATTAGGTCTCTTCGCCGCACAACTTGTGCGTCTGGCTGAGAAGACTTCTGGCACGAGAATTCGTCTCATCGGTGCCGCCAGCAGTGCAAAGCACGACATGCTGCGCCAAGCCCCTTATTCGTACGACGAGCTAGTTGACTACAGAGACGCTGACTGGCAAGTAACGGTACGCAAAGTTTGCGGCATAAGTGGCGGAGTTCATTACGGCATAGACGCGGTCTCGCAGTCTCCGTCTGTCGAACGTGTGCACGATACGTTGGTCAACGAGGGAAAGCTGGCGGTGTTCCGAGCACCGGCTCTCGCAGGGTTTGATCCATCGAAGCTCAGGATCAGGCCGATCACAGGTGCAGTTTGGGAGGGTCTTGGCGTAGAGATTCAATACCAAGGTAAGTGGTCTAAGGCTTTTTGCCAACTGTTCCGCAAGGGGCCTCCTTTGCTCACAATCTATAGGCGTCACATTCCCAGCCAACCTCGAAGCCCGTGAGTTTGCAACGCAATTCTACAACTATCTCGGATCGGAAGCGTCGTTGGGAAAAGTCAAGTTGCAGGCAAATCCGGTTCGCCTGATGCCAGGAGGACTCGAGAGCATCGCATCGGAAGGCATCCCGCTCTTTGGTCCGAATCAAGTCAATGAGCCGCCGAAGGATCACATGCGTCCGGTTAGTGGAGAGAAGGTTGTCTATACCGTTTCTTAGGGGCTTTCTGTAGGTAATCTCGACTGTCAGGCGAGATCTCAGCGACTTTGGATTGGTTCCCATGCGGATACAGAGATACGATCTAAACTTGAATTTGATTGACTAAGTCGCGTGACTATTGTACACTCTACTCTTTGGATATGGACATCTAATTGTGCTTAAAATATTTACTGAGAAATGTGAAAAATGAGTGGTCGAATACGACCGAGTCGGCTTGAGAACTAATAGCCTCTTTACGAGCTCTTGGCAATAAGGTCTGCCGCTCTCTCGGCAACAGCGTACAAGGTGCTGACAAGGTGACCGCACACCTGGAAAGGCAAGACGGAGGCGTCAACAACGCGGACGTTGGCGGTACCGTAGACCTTGAGGCTGGCGTCAACAACACCGCCCTTCTCGCGGGGCATCATGGCAGCGGTGCCGACGGGGTGGAAGTTGGAACGGTAGTTGCCCTTGATGTAGCTCTCCCAGCCCGCGACATCATCGGCATCGGCAGCGACGACGTCCGCGCCGGGACGGGTCTCAGTTCCGGTGTAAGTGGAGAAGGGTGCAGTGCTGTACAGCTTGCGGATGTACTTTGCAATCTCGACCTGCTCGAGCAGATCCCAGTCCAGCATGAAGTAGTTGGGGTTGATGACGGCGCGGGAGGTGGAGTTGCCACCAATGTGGACGCTGCCGCGGGCAAAGGGGAGGAGTCCCCAGTACTCGCTGCTCCAGGATCCCGAGCCGGCGTTGACGAGGACCTCGGCGATGGGGATTTGGGACTCGAAGATGAGGGACCACTGCAGCTGGAAGAACTCCAGTAGGTCCGAGGCGCGGGTGACGTTGCCGTTGACAGAGGCGACCTTTGCGGCGTAGGCGGGGAGGGCCTCCTTAATCTGGGCCGCGACCTCGTCGGCGTTGTCGAAGACGTGGGCGACGGAGGGGTAGGCGACGGTGGTGAGGGTGCCGTCGATGCTCATGTTCTTCATGTCGAAGGAGAGGCCGTTGTTCATCTGGTCCTGGAGGTTCTCGCCGACGGTAGGGAGGTCGACGACGGTCTTGATGCCGTGCTGCTTCAGGACGTTGGCGCTGCCGACACCGGAGAGCTCGAGTAGCAAGGGGGAAACAAGAGCGCCGGCGGAGAGGATGACCTCCTTGTTGGCCTTGACGACGCTGCTGGAGCCATCGGCGGAGACGATCTGAACACCATCGGCGGTGGGGAGAGCAGCGGTGTTCTTCCAGGTGAGCTTCTGGGCGCTAGTGTTCAGAAGGACCTTGAGGTTGGTGCGGTTCTGGTAGGGGTAATAGTAGGCGCGGGCGGCATCCTCACGGACGGCGTTGGCTTGGTCGACGGTGCGGGGGAAGACGGAAAAGCCAACCATGTTTCCACCGTTGACGTCCTCATTCCAAGGCAGACCAAGATTCTGGAAGGTCGAGTTCAGAACTGCGGGCATGGTTCCGTTAGTCTGGCCGTAGGTCCAGCCGGTCAGGAGGGGTCCGTCTTCGCCGTGAACATCGGCCTCGTACTCGAGACGGCCGGCGACCTGACGGGCGGGCTCCGGGGTCTGGAAGTGCTCGCTCTTGAGGTAGTAGGGGAATAGAGAATCCCAGTTCCAGCCCTCGTTGCCAAGTTGCTCCCATGCGTCGATCTGGGAGGCTTCAGCGCGGGTGTAGGCCAGTCCTTCAAGTTGTTAGCATCTGAGTCCAGTCTTTTTAACCGATGATCGCCACAAACCGTTGATAGTGCTGGTTCCTCCCAAAGCCTTGGCAGCACGCATGGTCTGGACTGAATTGCCGCCGAAAATTTGGTTCGTCGTTTGGAAGGCGAAGTCGATGTCGGTGCCAAAGGCAAGACCGTATCCGTTGGGGTTGGTGACGTTGACGTTGTCGAAAACCGAGCCGCCGGCCTCGATGATCAGGACAGACACGGCAGGGTTTTCTGACAGACGGTTGGCGACAGCCAGACCGCTAGTACCGCCTCCGACGACGATGTAGTCGTAGCCATTGCTGGAAGCGTTGTTACAGCGAACAGCCAAGGCCGCTGCTCCAGAGAGGAGGGTAGATGTAGTGAGGAAGCCCCGCATAGCTGTATGTACAAGGTTGAAGTCTAGAGTGAGTGTAAGTGTGGCAAAAGAATGTTTACTGAGATGGTTATCAAACGAACGCCAAAGCCTCGAAGGCGAACGCCAGCGTTTATATCATTGAACACCGAAGAAGAGAATTCAACAACATCGCAGTCAAAATCCAAGCTCCTGAAATCCCTCAATCACGTCACCCGCGCGGATACAAACAGCTACCATCCCCGTTAAACCGGATTTTGCGATGACCCTCCGAGAGCTGACCGAACAAGCTATGCGCTCCCTACCATTTCGTCAGTGCAATCCATACGGCCCAACTTACTCAAGACTCGGCAGGGTGGAGTACGGCGTAGCCGCAGAAGCCGAGTTACAATTGGGGCTCAGCGGTTCTGAATGCCATTGGCCGGTCGACAACCGCTGAGAGCAATGAGAGCATATCTGATCGGACCGATCCACTGGTAGTTGGCGGCGCGAGATGCTTATCAACCATCAGAAACCCAACGTTCCTGGGATCTGGAACCCGTCGCTGCGGAAATATCTGCGTAGATCGGCGGGACCCCTGCAGGGGGGCTCCTACTCATGGCTCACCAACATAGCCCCGTAAGGCCAATGAGGGCTGAGTAGAGGGGAGAGTGCGCAACAGGGTGGCGGACGTTTGAATCATGCTCTCGCGACTGATTTGACAACTGTCGTCCAAATTTGCGGGCGGAAACCATGGAAAGCTTTGGCAAAATACGTCATGCCCGAGAACGATTGCAACCTCACGCAATGGAGGCCTTTTCATGCTCAAAGTGCTATTCTGGACAGTCGCTTCGATATAGTGCTGTGCACTAAGGTACGGCGACTAAATTTTAAGCTCAGTTGCCAAGTGCATCCGCCAAGTGATGTCCATCAAGAAAGGATCTCGCATATGTGGATCTTAGCAACACTCCTGCAAGTTCTATCTGATGAAATCACGGGTTTACGGAAATACAGATAGAGAAGGTGGGCATAACCCTCAAAAAAACAAGCAACAACGGATCTAAGCTATGGCTTTCTAAGCAATCAAGGGAGTTAAGGGAATACTAAGCCCCATGTGTGTCATGCTTGCATTCTGAGTTGTTGAATGAATAAAGGGCCGAAAACAACTTTTCGAGGTGGGTTTCTCGACTGGGTCTGGATGAGTTGCCGCTTAAGTAAGGGAACAATAAGCATCGGATGCTCCACTGACAACATCCAAAAAGAACGAACCCATGACCAAGGAAACTTCGAGCAGTGAACTTGAGACGAACATGCTTGGTTTATACCGCTGCTATTAAGCTCGGTAGATCTCGGTGGCACAATCATTCACAGCACCCCCCTTTACGAAACAATGCAGAATTTCTAGTAGACATTAATCTGCGGCTATGCCTCTGTTTCCTCCTCATCCGATTTGAGCTCCCCTCGGCTTTTCCCCCTTCCACAACTCAAACGTCAATCCAGGCATTCATGTACATTAGATAGAGAGAAGCACTTGTTAGTGTTCGCGACGTCCCTGAATATCGAAGGCGAAGCTATCTGGGAGGCCGACGGCTGGTTTTACCAAACAAGGCGACACCTTGTGTGTAAATCAGTCAGTTGGGAAAGATACATTACCCTTGACGAAAGACCAATTCTCCGCAGGATTCATGGAACTCCTAAGTGAGTCAAGTTCAACAAGCTAAAGGAGCATGAGGTGGGGTCATCGGGGAGTGGTAGGCCTCTATTACCTTGGCCTACCTTGGGGCTAGACTGGTCCCCAAGCTCACTCATCCGCTGGAAGAGCGCATTTCTCCTTCAGAGTAAGAAACGATAGCAGTTGACAAGGGGCGCACTCAAATACAGATCCAGTTCCGTTATAGGAATGTGTCACAACGCCACACGTGGCGCTGCCCACTTACTGCCGTACGATACCACTTACTACGAGACGACAGCCCGCTTCGTACGGTATTTAGATACGACCCCTTCAGGGTCCCTCGCTTAGGAAACCCAAGCCACTTTCTACTGTATATGTCTTCCACTTGGATCCTCGCTTTGTAATAGAATGCTCATGCCGGAATTCTCAGGGCGACGGGGTGTCAGCGTGGAGATGCTTCTCAGATAGTCTTGCTCCCGTCTGGAGTCTGATAAAAAGATCGCCGTGGGACTGGTGAGGTGAAATGTGGTATCGATGTCAATATTCCAAGCCTGCAAACCACAGCGAATGAGATAATCAAGACAACGAGTTGACAAGTCTTGCTTACATTGGGTGCTATAGGTAGAACTGTCGCCCCCGGTAAATACGAAACTAGATTAAATGAAGCACTCCTCTTGAACGTCAAATAATCGGCCTCCGTCGCTAGAAAGACTCAATCTTTCTCCGGAAAGCCTGCAAGCTCATTCACAATCTCGAAATTACACAGATCCTTTACAGCTTTTGGCCTTAACATCCCTCAAACCTCACCCACGCTTGAGCCCATTCAGACCCAACCACCAACCCAGCAGTCTCTACTTCCTCGGCGCAACCCTCTCCGCCAACTTATCAAACTCCCCCTTCTCCATCACAGTCCCCTGCCCCTTGGACTTGCCCGTCATATGAACAAGATAGCTCCCAACACCGAGTCCAACAGCAGCAATAGCGACCAACGTCGGCCTAGTCCCCAAAATACGTTAACACAGGACCATGGACACACCTCCAACAACAAGAGACTCCCCTCTAGAATCTTGTCACATTAGACGGGGTGTACTCACCAGCTCTGCGCGGCACTGCTCGTAGACGGCACAGGCTCCTGCCCACCGGGTCCACCGAGGTCGCCTTCCTTGGGGTTATGCGTACTCCACCGGACCTGAGCCCCAACCCGGCGCGTCGCGGGTATGGGGGTTGCCGTGGCGGCTCCGAGTCCGGTGACGGATCGCGCGGCCGCGAGGCGGCGAAGGGGGAGGGATCTTGCGGGAATCATTGTGGCGTTATGAGGGCGGGTGTCCGTATAAGCTAGAGACGGTGATCTTGATGAAGCTGAATGCTCCCGGTCTCTTTTGATCTTAGGTTTTCTTCTTATCAGCAAGATGCGTTTGCAGTGAATGATCTCAGTGTTGTGCGTCAAAATGGCTAGACCATGCGATGAAGTTGAAGTTGAAGTTTGGAGTCTGCCACGCAATTGGACGGTGACGACACCAAGACGCTTGAGCGAATCTGGGGAAAGAGCGTAAGGTAAGGGCAGGTGCGTCATAGGTGCATCACCTTCCCCAAGCTGCACCTTCTTGGTAGGTATGCCTCCCTTTCCTTTCCCCATATTTCTGCGATTGGAGAAGTCGGAAAGAACATGCGTGGAAGCTTTCCAGAACAATTCGATGAGCGAGTTGAGCAAATGAAGAGAGATTCCGGCTTGCGGGCCTGTCGTTGGATCTTCGCTCTTTAGGTACCTTGGGTGCCACGATGCGTGAGGGAGACACCGCTGTCCACCGCAGATTTTCCCGATGCGTAAAACTCTACATTGGCCGGCCCCCTTTTGTAGGGGAGCCCAACAGCAACGAGGGAAGGATTTTAGAAAGGAGCAGAAGGACGATTACTATGCTTTTTGCAGTAACACAGGAGATCTTGTGTATTAGCAGTCCAATCGAAGAGCAATAGCCACCAACAGGACTAACACGCCCCTTCATCGCGCGACAGCTCACCAACCAGGCCCTTCACCGAAACCTAAATACATATGCGAATGCGCGAATGCAGCAAAAAGAGTACAGACCCTCTGTTCCGTTCTAGCCAACACAATATCCCATAATAACCTCCTAGTACCCTAGAAGAGCATGACCCATAAAACAAGCCTAGACCATCCAAAAACCAACACAATCCGAAAAGACCCCATCTGGATACCGCACCCTCAAGATCCGACCGAGCTCCCCCTCCGTCCTCCGAACCCACCCATCGTATTCCCGAACAACGGTCCCCTATCGCGCCTCGCACTCGCACGAGATAATTGCACCGAGGCGCCTGCCGTACCTGAATCTCGGAGATGGCAAGGAAACAGATCCCGTTCCAGGAGATAGACAATCATTCCACGATATGAATGCGGTGAGCAGTTTGGACCAAATCTCGTACTTTCTGCCAAGATGCGCCATGGCGCTGGTTTCCGCAGCTGGTATCGCTGGCGTGGGGGTCACCCTCAGCGCCTGAGTCTTGTACCAAAGCCCCCAAGTCGGTCGAGGCCGTACTACTCGCAGCAATACAACAGCCCCTCCTCCGATAGGCCCTTCCCCTGAATGATCATACTCAACAGCGTCGCATCCCGTACCCGTCCTGAGGCTCTCACCAACACCCTCACACACTCAGATGTCAAACGTTTCAATGCATTCGGAACGATACATGTACGGAGGATAGGGTATTATTTTCATCAATCCACCATAGAGGTAAGAACTGAGAGGTGTTGTGTGTAATCGATCCATCTATCGACTTGGTATCAAAGAAAATCAAAAGTTAACGCCCTGTTATGCCCTTTCTTTCATGAATGCAAAAGCCATGGCCCTTTGCCTGGGCTCCATTGATGCCGCAGCCCTTCCCAATGCTATGCTTTCAAAGAGAATAACGCTTCCTCATGTCCCCATAACGCAGATCATCATGTTTCCTTATGATTTCCACCGTGCCATGAGAACCGCCGCCCTCTCCCTCCTTTACGGGTATCATTCCGCCGCCAATACCCATGAACCCCCAGGGAGTGCTGACTGGCGGAACTCTAACGATGAACGCGGCTAATGACTTCCCATGGGATATATATATCCATGTTCATCTCGCCGAGTGCCCGAGATCCATCGATTAAGACTTGGATAGCAGTCTGGAAAGGAATGTCGTCCGGGACGTTCTAGGCCGACGCCGGCATGCTCCAGTACTTTGTCTTTGGGACGACTCTGACCTCAGGCGGATTCCAGATAGCCGGAGACGCAGTGGTGTGTGTAGAAGACTGAGGCGCAGTTGAAGTTGTGGATGTAGACTCAGATGAAGAGCCAGAGGTAGTATCGTCATTGCTGGCAGCAGCTTCGGCAGCGGCAGCAGCACGAGCATTGGCGTCCTGCTCCAAAGATTGGTCAATCTCTCCAAGAACCCACGACTTGATCTCATTGAGCGCCCGGCGCTTCTGCGTCTGCTCGCGGTGCTTTCTGCCCGACTCGCCCAGAGGCAGCGCGTTGAAGGTATGGAAGGTGACAAGGAGCGTGATCGTCTTGAGGTTGGGGAACTGCCGGAGGAGACGGACGCCCTTGTGGCAGTGGTCCTGCACCCAGCAGGGGCGGAGGCCCCATTCCATGGCGAGATGGCGGAGGTTGATGAAGGAGAGAGCGCTGGGCATGATTGACTGAGCCGGTCCTGTGAATGTGTTAGTCTTTGAAGATTTCCCTCTTTGTTTGGAAAGTGAGATAACTGGGTGAAAGGCAAAACTCACCTCTATAGATCAAGAGTGTATCATGGCGATAATTCATGTACACACCCTTGCCTTGTGCCTGGTGTCCTCTGGAGAGATGCAGCATCTCAAACTGCTCATCCCTAAGACCACGCGGGTTCTCAGGATCATAGAGCATCTCGGCGCGAGACTCCTGACAGACCTGGAGGAGTGCTGGGACAGGGCGGTGAAGTCCATAGGCCAAGGTCGTGCTGTTGGATATGCGCTCCACGACAGTGGGCTTGGGTGCCGCGAGACGCCATATCTTTACGCGGATCTCGGGCGGAAGGTCCTTGAAGAGGTGGAATGTGCGTGGCTTCACTTCTTCGGAGAGGTCCAGGTCTGCTAGATCTGTGATGAGGGAAGCCGGCTGTGGTGAGGTATGTGAAATGTCATGCGGGTCACCCGTGCCGTTGTGCTCGACTGTGTCGTCCATTGTGTAGTTGTGCCCGAAGCGCCTACGGGTGTGAATATGTGTGAATGGAAGAGGTGTGAAGAGTAGAAGCGTGAGACTTCTTTTCGTGAGAGAGGAAAAGGTGGTAGAAAGGTGGAAGGATTGGAAAAATCCAGAAAAAGTTGAAGATATAAAAAGTCCGGTCGAGGTGCGGCAACTTTTTCAAGGGGAAGGAGAGGAAAGGGCGGTGGTGGTATCACTTTCCGTTTCCTCAGGCACTTTGGGTTTTTCGAGCCGAATGAGGCAACGGACGAGCGATGCAGGCCGAGCCTCAAGTCGAGGTCGAAGGTGGGATGGAAAACGGAAATGGAAGCTGCGGCAGGGGCGCGGGAAGGTTGCAGGGGGAAGGAACGACGGATATTGGATGCGTAATCTAGAACTACTTGGCACCCCAAGGTTGAGCTCAAAATATGAGGTGAATGTAGACCTGAGGCCTATTCGGAGCTTGGAGGTGTATTCGGATGAGGTGGCCGTGGGAGTAAGGTAGTACCAGACCAAAAGCGGTGACTGCTAGAATAGTTATCTGGGCTGATGATACCATCCGTAGTGGAAGGAGAATTGTTTCGTGTCGTGCAGATAAGGCGAGCTCAGAAATCTTGGTCAGAACAGACTGCCAGATTCAAATCTCAGTATAAGAGAATCGAGAATTCTGGGCGAAGATGAACCGGAACAGGCCCAGCAGTGACTACCTTCTCTGCCTTACACCGGTGACCGCACGCCTCACCTCAAGGGACCTTACGGTAGAGAAGGGGAGAAATTTTCAAGGAAATGGACCGAGAGTAGTGGCGGATAACAAATATCATTTCCTGCATGAATCAACCTTTGGCTACAATCACCACCGAGACTAAGACCCCGAGGCGAATAGGAAACTAAAACAACAAGACGCCGAAGAACAAATGACTGCGGATGAGAAAATTTCTCGGGTTGGTCGCTGGCCGCTCGCTCGCCGCTGACCGCCGTAGTAAAATGGCAGCAACACCGAACACGGAACAAGTCCGCCTGAGCTAATCAGTTCAGCTGTTTTTTTCTCTACTAATTTTTTCAGCGCCAAGTTGGAAAACAATGCAAACAAATGGCCGCCCGGCGGTCAGTGCAACGCCGTTGGAACATCAGGTCCCGTCCTGCCAATGCAGCGTTGTCCCTAACGTTAGCCCCCCCGGGACCCTCCCAAGAACGAACGTATCAACGCCCAATTGGCCCGGGAAATCTCTTCAACCACCATGAATCATGGTGCAATGAGCAAATCACTGAAACTTGAATCTGGAATCTGGCATCTGTCTTTTGCCAGTTAGATTCATCTAATTGATCTCATTGATGATATGTGGTATTAAAAACAAAAAGGAGGACCCATCATGGCATGTTGTGTCAGCTGTTCCTTCAACCAGACGGTAAAAAAGTCATGCCAGAAAATCAAGCGATTGTGCGCCCATTCTCCCCTATAAACGTATTTGTGGACCCTCGTGCAAGTGGCACAATGTCTGACGTCGGAACAGCCTCATTCACCACCCTGGGCCCTGGTTTGATTTCATGCCCTCCCACACATGTCTTTTGCTGTTCCCCAATCGACATGCATTGCCGAATGCAGTGAGACAAGGGAGTACCCGACCGTTCTATCCTGTGGCTGACGCCTGTAATGCAAATCGCTCCCAGATGAATCACAATGTTCTCGAATCGCAAAGGGAAGAAAACAAAAGTCGTGCCACGCCGCGCTGAGCATCGTTAATCAACGCCCCCGTCCGGCCAACCCCCGGGCCCGAACCCGTGTAACCTAAGCGCCTGTTCCCGGATTGCATCGTGGACGATGGGACAACCCCTCGTGCAAAACATCGTACCAGAACCCTCTCCAGTCGCGGGGCCCCCACGCTTGACACAGGCCGCTGCCCGGGTGCTGCACAGCAATAGCATCTTGATAGCCTCCTCTCATCCAACCTTGATCTTGCGGCACCAATCCCGCCCATGCGCAACCTGCCAGTTACAAAGCTGCACCTCCATGACGATGCCGACGAACCCGGCAATGCAGATACCTCCGCTGTCGCTCACACTTGTCGCACTCAAGCTGAATTCCCTGTCCTCGCTTGGGACCTTTTCCATGATCTCCGCAAAGGTGTTGACGTACACCGCGCCTCCCAGCAGTCCCTCCCAAAACACAATCAAAAACACCACGTACACCGACGGGATGAAGTCAAATAGCGCGTGGCACGTCAGGAGCACGAGGTTAGCAATCTGCAACAGCGAAGGTAGATAGAGGCGGTGGATCCTGTAGAACGGCGTCGAGGACCTCGAGATGAAGACGCCCAGCTGGTACAAGAATCCGTACATGGGATAGAACTCGCGGAACTCCTTGAACGGTGATGACGCCAACGGGAAGAGCAGCGTCGGCGCAACGCCCTGGTTGATGGTATACTCGGCAATGTATACCAGCAGCAGCGGCAACATATACGGAAAGAAGAGAGACTTTGCCCTCTTCAAGTTGTGCTGGAAGCTGTGCGCATCAGCGTGCTGCACCGAATACGCCGTCGACGTGGTCGCGGGTCCTGGCGCAAGCAGAGCCGACGACGCCGCGTTCTGCGACAGCTCCTCAACGTCCTCCTCTTCCAAATCCTGCTCCGGAACAACCGTGTACTCTTTCCGTCCCGCCTTGAGCGGCCCCTTTGGCAATATGACGAAGAAGCTCACGAACATGATGGACGGCAAGCAAGCAGAGAACAACAGGCTGTTCCGCACGCTGAAGCCCCACCAGTCTGTGAGCACCAC